AATTGTTAATGATGCAAAAGAGATGAATGAGAAGTCATGGATCATCGTCCCGATACTCACAAAATGTGGATTGATATATCGTGGCAATCGCATTCTGGATACGAGGCCCATTTCTTGCGCCCTGCAAGATGAGTAATTCGTTTTTAAAGTAAACGCTGTTAATGTACGAGAGAAAATAGTGCTGATAACGCTGATACCTTTTTATTATATCCGCTATTACTTTCGAATAAGTTTTCAAACAAGAACTTTCCGCCTTGAAGAGTACAGATGTTTTCTTTCCCAATGTTTTGAAGAAATATCTTAATTCTTCTCGATGAATGCCTATCATTTGCAAGAGATTTAATAAAAACGTCGAGCCGGAAATGAAACAGCAATGAGCGAATCAATAGATGTGCGCGGCACGATATGTGATCCCACTTACATCCACTCGTACATTACGACCAGCAATGATCTACTCACTATTCGTCGACGTAGTGATCAAGCCAGAAGTCTCCAAATCGATTTCTATAGCGAATGAATGATCAACTAAAAATGCCAAAGGCGGAACATCTGGATTTCGATAATTCGTATCTTTCATCTAGAACGAAATATAACGGACGTTTCAATTCTTTATTTCAATACTATATAAAATGGAACTTATGTTTTCAGCTACAAATACTAAGAGTTAAATCACAGCTTCCCTTTGTAATGATTCAGTTTTTATTGGACTTACGGAAATCGAGGATTAATCATTAGATGGTAAATGTCGAAGATTAAAAGCTGATACAGATGAGCTATTCAAGTTTTTGTAAAGCTGGAAGGAACGGCTAATTTTTTAGTTCCACTACACAGCTTTATAGCGTTTACCTTATAATGAAGCGTGTGAGCATCATGACCACTTAAAAATGAGGCTTGTATACCGTCGGGCGTAGCATGTCCCAGCTCACATGCGACTTCATGTGCCAGCTTCTCCGCAGACTCGTCTCCACACATCAATAGCTATAAATCATTTCAAATTAGCGTTGTTTTCAATAAAAATGAAAAATGTATCGTCTGTGACATATATCATGTTTCTGATCGCTCACCAAATCCGGCTCGCAAAAATTGCTCCCTGGCGACTTAAAATTGTAACCATACTGATTTCCCAGGACAGTAGTTAAGCGCACCAACACGTGAAACTGCTCCATAATCTGCGCCATGTAGACACGTGAAAGATGCGAGATGAATCGTTTATCTACGGCCATGAAACTCTTTCGATAATCAGGTAATCTAATGAGAAGTAAATAAAATTATGAGATTTATTATCACCCGTCTTTCAAGTTCCATCAAATTGTAATCACTTACCTGAATTCAACGTCTCTTTCAAATGTACCCTTCTCCGCATACTCGAAAATAAATCGAAGAACATTGTGATAACCAAGCACGTTGCTGAAATTGCGCGTGTTAGATCCATCTGTGTTAGCCAATAATCTCAAGCTCAATGCTATCGGGGAGATGTATATCTGCTCTATTAAATATTTTCTTTTGCTGTTTGTGTTCTACAATTCAAACGCATGAATCAAATGGAGTCCATACATTTACGATGTATTTAAATTACGTGCAATAACAGATATTACATTACTAATATTGCGAGTCGAAGGAACGCGCATATTGGACACATCTCTCCTCAGTTTCGCAGCAATTGAATGTTTAGTTTCCGGTGTCTTAGGTACTAAATTGATCAAGGAACAGAGAAAGGCCTCTTCTAAATTTAAATTGAATTCCCTGACAATGACACATATTCCTCTGAAAGGATATCATTTGAAAATTATTATGAAAAATACCAGTTAACGACAGCGATAATGTTATTTGCATTGCGCACGCACTTGTAAATAATATTCCTTAATTTGCGTTGTTTCAGGTACGAGAATTCTAAGCAATGCTTTAATCTGCGGCTTCCAGCGTAATTCACAAAATTCTTTTCCAAGTTGGGATGTAGAACTACCGGAAAAGTAGCTTCGTTCAGTTGATTATCGATCTGCAAAATACGGGGGAAAAAATGTATAGATACGACTTATTAGAAATGTGATCTCGTACCTGTAATCTATGAACGTATCCTTGGAAGTAACAAAGCGTCGTAGATTCCCTACAATGTAACCAGATACCTGGCGAATACGTTCTTCGTAGCTTGCCAAAGAATGGTTTGGTCATTTGCATTTTTGTAAAGTCAACCTACAAAAGTTTTGGAAAAGTCTATTAGAGACGGATGTTCAATAAGCAAAAGAAATATTCTTAGTCCACAATACAATATCTTTCTGTATTGAAATAACAATATATGTTCTACATATTTATACTTATCATTCAAGATATTTGTGTAATGAGCAACAATTTCATTGAATACAATAAAACTGAACGGAATTTATAACTATCAAAATTGATATCTACACAACGAATGCAATTACATTAGCAATAGTTTTGAAAATTAGCATTAGACGTACGTCAATAAAATTCTCAAGCTGTGCCGTCTTCACGGAATTCGTGTATTTATTTTCTAACCAGGCGCTCAGCTCCAGCGACAGATTCCTCCATCGTTTGCTGAAATAAAGTTCCCAATGCGCGGCTGAGTCGATCACACTGGCGTACAGTAATTCTCGCCTAGTGCTATGAGAATTGGATTCATGTACAACCTACGAAAAAAAATCGATCCTTCGATTGATCATATCCGAAATAAGCAATACGTAGCCATCACTCTTCACTTACAATACTTATTCCGATAGCTGCAATTGATAAGAATATTTCTCTTTTGCTCGCCTCAGGATCGATAATACTCCTCGCTTTCAGGTACACGCTCTCGTGCTGTGTAAACAGCAGCACGCGCTGTTCACCTTCCATATAGCTCACCCAATAAACCATTGCTTCACCTTGGTGCATATGCTCCGACATTTGCGACTTCGTTTCGGGCTCCGCACTAGGAACATGACTGATACTTCCGCTTGTATCTTCCGACCATGACTTCGTATTCGCTAGTGACTTGTGAGTAATGGAAGAATAAGACGCACTGTGGCGTCGTTCAATGGTTATGAAAGATACTTTTTCCTGCCCACAACCATCCTAAGAACAGACACAAACAACTAGTAACATCAAGCAGTAAGTTTACACAGAAAAATAAATTTTTTTTAAAAATACACACACACATACACTAGATAGAGAAATTAATCTCCTATGGGAGATTTTAAAAAATGCAAGTCAGAAAATTTGTTCAAAAATATAATGTATTGAAAAACTAAAAGTTCATGCTCTAAGAGATATTTTTTTTCTATTACCGTCTCGAATTGTGCTCTATAACCAACTGTATTATTACTGTAAACATTCCAGATCAATTCTCTAGTTTGAGTAGGATCGTCCCATGTATATAACAAACTTTGGAATGGTTTGAGCAATGCGACTTGGCCTAAATTAATTTGATTCAGCTTCAGAAATAGCTTGTCGCAGAGATTATCCACTCTCACTGGTACATCGCCGGTAATGTATCGTCGGAATATTATGCGATATGGAGTACTGACGCCGCCTTCGATCTCCACGCACAGTGCCGACTGTAAATTATGAAGTCTTTGTAAGAAGCTTTTATATAAAAGTCTCTTTATATTAGCTTTTGTCTGTTTATATTAGCTTTTATATAAGTTACATAATACAACATTAATTAAATAAAATTCTTCTTCATAAAGTTCGTAATTTGTTTCATAACTAGTGATCATATATCTTTATCTTACCCCGTTATCCATTCTCAGCACAGTTTTGCCCATATGCATAATATCAAAGTGTTGCGAAACCAATTGGCTATTTCTCCACTTTATTTTCATCTTCATAGATTCAGTGGCGGGCCAGAACGACATCTCTTGTCCGGACAAGAGGTCGTTCCAAAGATCAGCTTCTTCATTCTCTTCCATGAACCTCAAAGCTCTCTTGGTTTTGTTGCAAATAAAGAAGTATGGTAGAAACGTTATGATCTTTGTGAAAATCGGCGACAAACGGGAGTTCTCTATTTCTGTTAAAATCTGATACTTTCGTCCGCGTTCGATATCGCGACATATGATCAACGACATTGACGTAATCCCGTCCAGTCCAAATGGCATTGACCATTCGGACTGATGTGCTCTTAATCGTACCATACTCTTTTTGTTGTTCTTTTGAGAGAATATCATTAACTCCTCCTCCGGCATCTCATATGTTATATGAGAATGACAGTCCTAAAAGAAAGAAACGTTATTGGTAAATTATATATTTATTATCATAGAAATCTTGTCGTCGTTTGGCTTACCTGGATAAACAACGGTAAACCAGATTTATTTATTATCCAATATTGTGATTGTATAACAATGTTCCAACTGAGAATTTTGCACAATTCTAAGCATAACAAAAAAGGCTTCATTAAGTCTGACTCGCTATCTGTAGACATTAACACGAACTTGTGCTCTAGATTCATATTTAGTTTTACCGCACCCATCCAAGACATGCCTAAGTAGTTGTGTATCTATATAAAGTTATTGAGATAATGTGTAATTAAAAGGATGCAGCAAAAAATATATTTATATATAGTTTCTCTTTCAAACGATAATTGAATGTACCTTGAAAACAAACTGTACGTTATTGCCATAATTTAGAGAATGCATATTTATTTTCTCCCCAGGTTCGATTTTCACTTCATAATTGATACCAGGTATACTGACATCGATAACAAAAGGTAGCTGATTATTGAAAATAACAGGTGGTACGATATTTATTAAGTAATTCGGCACTTGACAACCTGAAGGACGAGACGTTAACGGGAGTTCCATGCATATCGCCCTGACACAGAATACATTACGATTATTGTCGCCTTTCGCTTCGCAGCATACGTCTTTAAATGCATTTGCTGTACCCCTCAAATCTTTCCAATAAATTCCTTCGTCACTGACTTGATATTTCCTGCAGATAATGCATCCATTAATATATTTTATCTTATTTTACAATCCCTTAAAAGTATACATTGTTTGATATTTCATATTTTACTCACTCTAGATATGCAGGAAGAATATGTATCGGGCAATGATAAGCGATGTATAAAGGAATATTATATGTTGCATCAGGTTCTATGATCGCCATTCTCACATTATCATCGAAAGGATTCGTAGTTTCACCGGTTAGCGTCAGACCTAATTTGTCCATCACCGCTTTCTTATAATAAAGTCCCAAGGCGTATGAGGTTTCGTTTCGAAACTGAAATATTCTTTTGATCAGCGAAAGATAAAAATAATAATTAATGAACAGATAAGCAAGTTCACATTACCTGTAACGGAGATCGCACGCAAATCATACGGTGCAAATAATTATTTATGGATGCCTCTATCACCAGGTAATAACGAACTTCGTGTCTCACAGGACGAAGTGCTACGAGATTACGCGTTTCTTTTTTCGGGCAATACACCAACACGTCTTCGAATCCTGCATTAAGGATAAAAAGATAGATTTATTTTTTATATATTTAATTACCTTCAAGTATATTTGTAGAAGTTACCTTCGAAGATGATACGAAGGAGTTCATCGGTTATCGATTTGTAGATTTGCACTGGTGAGTCGATGGGGAAAGCTTTACACTCCGACACAATCGCAACGGTTTCTTTATTGGCCCACTGGGGGCTCGTGAGATCCGTCTGTTCGTTCTCAGGACTGCTGGGCACGCTGACTGGCGAGCTGCCGTCATGAAAACTGTAAGCGGCTACGACACGCATGTCGTTGTTCCCGTCTACTTGCTCTTGAACAAGCAGCTCAACTCGACTTGCGTGACCTATGTCGTTTAATACAGTTAATTCCCGCGTATTAGTAGGTACAAACGGAATTCCACCCCTAGCTTGTGTGAACGCGTTTGAGATCGCATTCCATGTTGCAATCATGTCTTGCGTTATAGTAATGTTAACTTTATTCTCTGAATATACGATGATATATGGTGCAGTAAGATTCGTTTTTGTCGGTACATGAGCGACAGAATTGCCTATGCAAAAAGTACAAAAAATTAAAATATTAGCATTAACAATTGATATTTAATACGTTTGTACGAAATCTTGAATTTACGTACAACATTCAGGATTGCAATCCAGTATTAATTCAAATTCCTCATCCTCGTTTGTACTTGAATCGTCAGAATCGCTTTCTTCGCCATCACTAATATTATTAAATAAATAATTTGAAATTCTTGTTAATTTTGTGTCGTTCTCATCATCATCCGTGTCAGATTCATCCTCATATGTAACATAAGTTTCAGGCTCTGTTTATTAAAAAGATACATTTATTAAATAATCCGATATATTAAGTAACACTTCCACATAACTGATAAATAACTTTACCTTTTCTTGCAACTGAAATCATATCAATATCAGGTCCAATAAACGTCATGTCTGTCATATCTTCCCCATTATATTGCATATCTTTTTTTCTCGCTTTTATTGGATTTTGCTTTATGTGATGGCAAGGATCCGTCCAATCAGAATTAATCATATTCGCCTCGCCTCGATATATCTGAGGAAATTAAATTATAGACAGTCAAAACTATGTTAATAAATAATTAAAAAATATAGTGCAGCACGATAATATTAGTAACCTTGATAGTGAATTCCCATGGTTTATAGTCTATATCGTCTTTCGTACAAAATTCAATGAAAGGCTCCCAATTCTGACGAGCTCTATTGTAACAGAATGCATGAAGTTTTACATTGGATTCAAGATGAAAATTATTGCGCCAATCGTTAATGGTAGTGGTGATGACAGTTTCCATTTTCATTACTGGAAATCTTCCTACGACGTACTCCATTTCCAGCAATAAAGATATTATCACGGGTCTCAAATTGAATGTTACTTGATCTTTGCGGCGACGATACAATTCCTTGTCACCTAAGTAATACGAAAAATAAAAATACGAATTTATTTAAAGGATATGAAGTTTGACGGAATTCAAATAGAATACGTGATTTATACGAGATATTTACCTTCGTCCGTTTTTTTATACGGTATACTAGAAACTTTTCTTGGTGTCCAAAGATTATGCAAGTTTGTATTCTGATTACTGTCATCCTCTGTTTTCGAATTAATACTGTTTAGAAAAGTTGATGCTTCATTCAATATCTGGAACAAATATTATATAAAAGTAAATTCAGATATAGTGTATATGTATATATATATATATATATATTTAGCAATATGATTTTTAACTGTTTCAATATTTTAAAGAAATCTTGAAACATTTGGAAATACATAATAGAGATATAGACAGTTATTTTTAATTACGAGAGATGTTAAAACAAGAGGAATCCAGTTCTTATTTGAATCTCTAGATCTTGTAGGTAATTAAAAATTTATTTATCATTCCATATCACACATATTTCCAGATCCAGTTTAAGTTACATAATACTTACGTCAATAAAAGTATGCATCACTTCCGCAGATAGATGTATATTAATACTATTTATAGCAACGGTAATATCTTCATTACCGCAAGATAACTTCTTTTTACAGATTTCTATATCACAGGGACGTAACAACCAACACGGGGACTCATAATTTCCCTGTCCTTTAGTCTTGGCATTGACGTTGGTCAACGTACAAACTATCGAGGACGACCGGCTGTGTCTGCTACTTTCGATAAACACTTCCGCTTGCATTCGTATTACATGAGTGCTGCTCTTCTCTAAGTCACCAAATAGAAAGATGTCTGGCTTTTGTATTCTAATAGATATTGACGTACCTAAAATTATTCAGTTTGCTTTCTTTATTATACGAAATTTCACGTATATAATAATACTGTATAAGAGAAAACCATTTTTATCTACAACATGCACATGCATATAAACAAACTACCTGGCTGTTCCCTAAAATATTGGGAGCGACTTAATTTGTCAATTTCTGCGTTTAAAGTATTCCGGTTCTTGATTGAAATTAAATTGATTTGAAAAATTAATTCGATTATTAATCTTTAGAAGATATTTTTAAAAATGAGAGAGAGAGATATATATAAAAGAAAATGTTTTAAAAATATTCTTAATAAACTTATTATTTGTAAATAGTTTTATATTTACCATCTGGTTGTTATTATCATATCCATGATTGATAATTCCTTTCTCTATCTGTTCACCGGGTAAGGAATCTAGAAAGTAACGTCCCAAGTGCATTAAGAAAGGCACAGACAAATTAATTCGTATGTCTTGAATAAGAACATCGAAACACTTTTCTTCTGCTTGAGTACGACTGTATGTTACATCAACTATAGGAGACATTGATACAGAAATACAGGATTCTAAATTCTTTTCTAAGGATATTGCTGGTGATTGTATTATCCTAAAACAGAAAACGAAATTGTGATTCTCGATAGCATTAATGTTCTACGTAACATTCAATCATGTACAATCAACAGATACAATACCTTTTTTCGACGACGGAGTCCTTACGAGTATCCTGCAACAAGCAACTTTGCAAAGACAATTTCATTTTCAAACTTTTATCGCTATAAAAGTCCCATGTATTTATAGTTTCTCCAAAGCTCAGCTTGCATAAACCGTGATTTAAATCGCGCACAGGAGAACTCAACACCTGCAATATAACGCAATAAAAAAATAATATATAAATAAAAACTTATATTAATATTCAAGTGAATATTAATTTAAATGAATATTTACCTCTTCTGTATCCATAAATAAATTTAATTGTAAACCCTCTAACGCAAGTTTTATGTTAACTTCGCATAATGCTGTTTCATTGTGTGTTAAGAAATTTTCCAGTTTCTTTACCATAACATCATCGTGGTTGTCATTCTTTTGGCAATATTGCGTTAAAATCCTATCTTCATTCTCATCGACATTCTTAAGCAACGGTATCTTAGAAATATTATCTTGCCACACCGATATAAGGGATTTGAGGTCCTTCTGACTTAAATTTATATTTACGATATCAATAGCTCCTTGCACGTTGAATAAACCATAAGTTTGAAATTCAATAATGCTGCGATACTCCGTTTTTCTCTTAATGTCAAATTGAATTTGTATAGGTTCGATAATGGGTTCCTGAAATTACATATGTGCGATATTATTTCAATTTTAACAAACTGCAATAACTAAATCAAATAAAATGTTTGATTTTACCTGGACTTCTAAATCTCGAGTCAAAGTCATAATTGCTCTAGACACAGTCATAGATTTCAATTTAACTAAAATATTATCGATTATTAATTGATTGCTATCGTTAGTAGTCGCTTTGGTTGATTGTATCGATTGTTCACTATTCTTAAAAAAATTTTCAACTGATAATACGCCTGAAAAAGAAAAAAATATTTTAATAAAATTAAATACTCTCGATTTGCAATTGTTCCAAATACAATTTTTACCTGTATCAAAAACCAAAAGACTCGGGGCATCCTTCTTCTGTGGCAGTAAAAAAGTAGGCCCTTGTATATCAATAAAAATATGCAGTTTTGTCGCGCTCCTTTTAAATAGTTCAATCCCTCCAACGAATTTATTTTTCAAGTAATACAAGAAACGTGTATAATATGTAGAAGTAAACGGTATTATGAAATTCTGTAAATACAACTAAAATAAATATCAATATCATAATAGTACAAACATTAGACATAAATATATCGTACCCGTAAATCATATAGAATTTTAGAAATAATCACGCAATTTATTCGTCCAATAGAAAGCTTAAAAGTGCCATCCGACATAACGTCATCCTGATTTGTATCGATATCAGAGCATTTATATAATCTTGGTACATGTCTCACATATTTCAGATCAAAAACTTTATCTTCATCAGTCGTCAAAATCTTTAAATAAAATTTAAAAATGTATATATGTTTATATATATAAAACATATATTATATGGTAGAAAAAGACGATATATTCAATTACTTTAGAGTAAAGCGTATCATCAATTAAATCTTCAGCGAGTATGCTCCTGAGATGTGCGCGCAACACCATTCTCTCATTCGCATTGTAAATGCAATCATTTTCTAAACCCAAAATCTTAATTTCCATTAAATCTATGTCTTTATCGCAGAAACGTACCACTAATGAACTGAGTCTGGTTGAATAGTTCAATTTAATTGCGCCTAAAAAAATAATAAAATTAATTGATATTACTTGTATTTAAATTTTTTTTATATTCAGAGTATATATTTATACCTGGTGGAATGGGTGGATCAATGTCTTTCTCTTCTCGTTTTACAATATTATCGCATATTTTGTCAGCGTATTTGAATAAAAGAGTATCATGACACACACTGAAATAAAAGAATCTTTGGTTTTTTGTGTTAAAAAAATCAAAAGATTCTCTGAAATTTTATTAAGATTTTTCAAGTATGAAAATTGTTCTTACTTACGTTTGAAATTTATGCCAGTAATTTTTCATTTTCAACAACGCAGATCTATGAAAGTTTATGTTGATATTTAGCAGGTTCACAACCAACGAGCGTTCGATATTTTTGAAATGAGATTTGAAATCAGGGCAATTCGATTTAACCTGAAGAAAAAATTGATATCATATCTCTATATGAATATCATATCTCCATAAATTACCTTACGATACGACACAACGAGGACTTCGTACGACTCATCGGTAGATATCAGTTCTAGATATGATCCGGTAATGCCAGCGTTTGTCTTATCAACCAGAAAAATCGATCCAATGCCAAACTGAATGGCAACACCGTATTCCATTATAGCTGTTTCATAGTACAAGGTGTGCAATCTCAAATTTAAGTAAGGCTGTTCTCGATTATCCGCCATATCTTCCAGATTTACGGAGAACTAAATTTCAGATCATGTTTATCAATGACATTTTATTTGTACATAAAACTATAGATGTTTAATAATACTTGCCTCTCCTACAGCAAATCGAAGTAATAAATTAATGTGATTACACGGAGATATATTATCGTCAAATCCGGACAAATTAATCGTTTTAGATAATAATTCCAAGTCTTCTTCACTAATTTCTGAAGAGACGACACTCCTAGTGTTTAAGAAATTAAAAGTATATTATGTGTGCGTGTGTAAAGTTAGTACTTCATCTTTCTGCTTCACGATAAGTTTTAGAAATAATTTCGTTGATTTAATTAAAAAAATAACATTATATAAGATGCTAGCGTTCCAATTAAAAAATTGATTTAAATTTTAAAATACTTGAAGGTCGGAAACTATAAAACCTTTCGAGAACTATAGCATTCACGATCAAAATTATTTTTTTTTTTTAATTTTGAGATGCCATGGAAAGTTAGTACTTCAAATTTTCGAAACTTGTTTTTTTTTTAACTAAATCAATGGAACTATTTTTAAAACCTATCAGAAACCTATAGAACTATTGCGAGTACAAACAGAACTTGCATTAAAATTTGCAGTGCAAAAAGATAAGATGCCAACTATTGAAACGCATTGAATATCAATATGTACAGACACACATGCGTGCGCACACGTACACATATAAATATGTGTGCGTGTATGTGTATATATATAAAATCATTACCTGTCAAGCTTTGGTACATTGTTAGTAGCAACTTCCTTAATGACTGGTTTAAAATCACTATGCATCATTGCGACGGATGGCAAACATACACTAGATTGTACTTTCAATAATTCTTTCGTTGAAATAAAGATAATACTCGATTTTCGTCCGGAAATTGAATTTTTTAAAGTAGCTTTATATTTTTCAATGTTATTTTCGTATAGGACTAGCAATTTATTCAGGTAATATACCAGCAGTCGCATTTTACTTTCTGACAGATTCAATTTCACATTTGAGATGTGTACATTGAGTTTTGTCCTGTATGGAACATTAGATATTAAAATCTTGAAAAATGAACATAAACAGGAAATTGCCTGGCACAATTATTACCGTGGTAATTGACGATATTCAGGTCTGATACTGTATGAAAGAGTCACATTTGCTTGCAGCTTAGGCAACAAATGATACTCCGAATCACTCCGTTTCCTTGCCGAGCGCCAATCGTCGCCTGAATGACAAAATAAAATTTGCGCGCCGGAAAACACCATATTAAGTCTGTCATAAAGTAATTCTTCCAGTTCCATGAGAGTAGCATCTTCCAACTGCAAATTCGTTGCTTGGAGCTCGTTGATCAACGTTATGTTACCGACATCCAGAACAAGTATATGCCCACCTCTAAAAAAACGTATGTATATGTAAAACGATATTTGTATGCACTTTCTTTTATAATCCTACAATCGTATGTAGTAAATATACATACTTTTGAACTGATCCGTGTTCGGGAAATATGATATAAGGACTTTTGATGTCTATTTTAAAGCTGATTCTCAATGTCTGCGAGACGATATCGTCCACAAAGTTCAAATATTTTCTTTTAACGCAATCCCATAGTCTATATACTCCACGAATCGTATCGTGAATATAATTGGTATTAAATTTGAAGAAATTTATAATTTCCACTATAGCAAACTGAAAATTAATCTATAAGTAAAATTTATAAAAACAACAGTCAAAATATTATTAAAACAACAAAAGTATTATTACGTGATGATAAGTTACTTCGATAGTTTCCAGTTTTATAGATACTTCAAAAATAGGATCCTTATTCAATCCATTTTTCTCAAAATCTATCGCCAAAAAATATGTAGATACATTCCCTGTCACATATAATATTTATAATTAGTATATTCGCAGTAGTTCATAAATCAAGGATAAATAGGCTTATCACCTGTTAATATATTATCCACTGTAATCAGAGGAACCAAATCGCCATCAGTTGATATTGCTTCAATTACAAAACTTTCAGCACGAACAGATATCTTGAAAGCTAATAAAGTAGGCCGTGCCTCGATACTTGTGAGAAATTGTGTGACAGTTACGATTAACATTTCTTTACCTTTACTTAGGAGACTTAGGCAACAATTTGCCAAAGTAAAATTTAATTTATAATCTGCAAAAAATCAAAACATTCTTTAGATGAACAATATAAATCTTTCTTAAATATTGTTTGCAACAATTTTCTTTTAGTTAACATTACATAGAAAAAGAACAATTAAAATGCTCACCAATTTGTTTCAATACCTTTCCCGATTTTATTTTGAAAACAGGTGAATTTTCTATTACATCTGGTAATGAATTTTGATGTTCACCTTTGTTGTATTGATCTGTTATATTTTGTGCTTGATCGTTATTCGGTAATATAACTTCTGCATTAACATCTTTTGATGGACTAGTTGTAATTTGGCACTCTCGCTCAATATCTTTGTTTCTCAATTCCTGTCTAGCATGTTCCCTAGCAATCACTATATTTAATATCGTCAGGCTGTCTTCATGTTTTTGCATATCCAGTTTTAATTCTGTATCGTTTGGTCGTTGCAAATATTGAATACACGCCTCTTTGTAATTTCTATAATTTTTTCTGTGTTGGGCTATATGTGGCCAAGTATATGGCTTAATATAATGATTCAAAACAAAATTATATGCGTATTTCCACCAAGATGATGGTTCCTCATATACGCTTTTCTCAGGACGATATTTAGCATGTGGCCTATAAATATTATTAGATTTTTTTTAATAAATAATTTCATTAATTTATTAAAAATGTGTATATATCGTTAAAATAAATAAAAGAATTTTAAACGTTACAAATTTTCACCTGTTAATAGTCGTACGAAGCAAAGAATCATAAATATGACAAAACGTAGCGTATTGCGCTTCAGATAATTGCATTGCTACATCTTGGAGCACAATATCAACTAACATACGTGAAGCTTGCGTTTCTGTACCCTTGTGTATGATAACTTTTATCTTGGCCGTGAAGGGCTTCAATACTAATAAAAATAATTTCGTTAGAATCAAAATGAAAATTGAAATAATATCTTTTTTAAAGCAAGATAACGACATTCTATAATTAACAAGAAATATTTGAAACATACAAAATTGAAATTCTTTGTTCTTCATCCCGAACGTCTGTAAAGCTTTCTGCATCGTAATTTTCCACGCGAGCAGATTGGACATGTCCCAATTACCCTGCATATTTATACAGGATTCAGTATCATGATCCATGTACACACTGAGCGATTCCGCACGTATAAGCTGATACACCGTTTGCGAGTTTGTGGCACATACCCCAGGCTTCCATTTGCTGGAATTCAACATTTCTAATAACAATACTGAATACAGACAATTGTAAGAGACTTGACAATATGCATTGTAGAATTACTTGTTGGTAGTCGTTATGGATATACTTTGTATACATATACCACAGGCACAGAGGAAATTGCGCAATATTTTCTCTTCATATCTAATATGTACATTATTTATAGTAATTTGAAAGTTCTTCGTGACTGATGCTAGTAGACCATCAAATAGTTGAGGAGGTAGACCTATATATGAAGAAATTATACCAATTAATTTAAATATAACAATCAAACATTGAAAAGCTATTTATATTATCTATTATTTCCAACTGCAATTATAATTTTGATAACTTCTTTTTCTTATACAAATTTAATACGTAACATTAAATCCTAACAGATATGAAATAAATTTCTTAATATGGCATTTAAATAAAAATATTTAATTACCTGCTCTAAATATTTCATCTTCCTTAAGATCATCAAGTATTTTCTTTTTTTCAGCTCTCATTAAACGTTTTTGTATTTCTGGGTCGTATGGACCAGATAATGCAGGTACTGCTACTACATATACATCCTTAAGAAGATAAAGCACAATTGCATCATTATTTTAATTTAATATATATTTTGTTATTATGAGATTTGGTCATATATATAGATTATTCAATACCTCTATGCATATCACAATAGGTTGCGAGAAGAGCCCAGACCATGGTATTTTCAAAATAATTTTTCCTATCAAACCGATCTCTACTCTAATAGGTAATCCTAATTGATACTGCAAATATAATTGGCAGAAATACATATATATATTCAATTGTATTTTAAATTCTCTTTATTGCCTCTGGATTATTAGATAAAAGAAAGGAATCGTACCAAAGCCTCCGGCTTGAGTTTTAGATCGGTGAGGCACGTATCCCCGGAGAAAATACCGACATTGAATTGCTCGGTGTCGAGGTCCTCCACGTACCTGCCCAGCAGACGGTTCAAAAATGCCGCTATAGCCCCTTCGAACATCGTCGTCGTCTGTCCCGAGGACTGTGAGCACCGGTGCCACTTTCTATCTGTTCCGCGAGCAAGACGACGAAATCATATGGGATCGACCTGGGCCCCGGTCGTCGTCATAACCTCTTCAAGATTGTTCGCAAAATAATTCAGTCATGCGCGACGTCGCCACAATCCTTATTGATCTCAAATCTTGTCTCGATGCTGCGCGACGCAACATCTACAACACCCGTCCGACAAACATTTATCGATCTGCGACGTCTGCTCCAGCTGCGCTCATTCTACACTTTCTACACTTCACAAGAAGCGAAATAAATAGGGAATACATGCAGATGTGCTCAAAGATTAATTTTCCCTAAACTAAATTCTCTCTCTCTCTCTCTCTCTGATTAATTTAATTTCGAATTACACTCTCTAATTTAATTTTCTTTTCTATGTGTTAAATTAAATAAAAAGTTAATTTTCTTTTATAAAACACTTTAAATTTTGATAAAGAAAAAATAAGGGAAGAGTATAAAGATATATAAGTATAAAGAAAACAATCAGAATTATAATGTTATTACATATTATATCATTTAAGACAGAAATAGATCATATAGATTCAAACTATTTAAAGAGACTGTGTAGCATCTCTAACTGCACTTTTTTCCATTATCTGCACTTGAAATGAAAATACATGTTAGATTATAAGATCAAGGCGGGAAGTTTGCAAAATAATTTTGCAAATTAAACAATTATGAAAATATTAAAGCAAAATTATTTATCTGTTGCTAATTAATGCATTTAATGTTTTAATATTATTTTCAAGTTTTATTTTTAAATATATATTTTTTTATTTATACATATATACAATATTTATTTAAATAAATGCATAGGGAAATACATTATAAACAAAATTGGTCAGATAATAAATCTTTTAAGATCTTTTCATTAAAATAATTTTAATTCAGCAAAGTCGCGCTTGCAAAATATACCAATTTTAAATATAAATGAGATATATCTTTTAATGAAATGAATAGATATATATATATATATACAGTATGAGCATTTATTATCATGTATTGTACAAGACCGCTAAAGCTTCAAATAAATATTTACAATAACGTCGGGTGTTAACTTATTAATGGACCATTATTAGAGATGAGCATTCGATTTCCTTTGAAAATTTTCGTATTATATGTATAAAAATTCAAATTGTTTCAAATATATATTCAATACTGTTTTAAACTATTTCGAATATACAATATCTAAACTACTTTAAATTATTTCAAATATATGTATATTCAAAAATGGAAATGAAGTTGTTCACAATTAAAAATAAATTAAAAAGTAAATTAGTTAATTAATTTTGATTAATTATTATATCGTATTACAAGCCAATTTAATTATAAATTGATCATTAAATAACAGAAGCAATCCTATTTTCAGGAAAATTTGTACAAATGCATTTCTCAATTAGAAAATATATTTAAATTCACTAATATTTTGCTGATAATGGCTCAAATGTACCTTTTTTGCTACTCTTTTTTTTACAATTGTACTTGATGTCGTTTAATAATTAATAATATTTTGTTACATTTGCGCACTATTTACTGTGCCATATTTAGGTTAAATTAATAAATTATTAATAATAAAATTATTTCGTATCTAGGTGTACTCACCTAAACGATCTTATTTTCAAATTTATTATTGTATATTTGTAAAAATTGAAACATTATTAATCAAGATTGGACGAAAATAGAATTCTTTCTCTTATTTATTTATTTTTTTTTTTAGATAGGATTCTTATTGGTCTAATTTCTGCTTATAATCATCATTGATATTTTTAAAACAAAATGTTTAAGAATTTAAAGACTGAATTTAAAATTTCAAAATATTTTTAAATATTGAAAACTTTCATGTTTTCCAATAATATAAGAACAATTTAGAATTTTTATCAGATTCTACAGATTTGATTTTGAACCCATCATTGGCCAACAAGGTAACCAAAAATGACGTACTATGTATCAACTTCGCTCAGAGAATGCTCACACATGAATAATACAAAATTACTGAACAATTCTTTAATCAATGATGAAATGCCAAAAACATTAAAAAACTAAACTGGATAAAGTACGCGCTGCATGTACATTGTCGAAAAAACAATCTTTATATATATGTATATAAAGATAGTTCTACTCTTTTAATACATCTTATAGATTACAATCCACTTAATGTTACAAATGCTTTGAAGTATTCTTTGATTGTAAACAAATTGGTAAAATTCTTTCTTCTGATTGGTCAATTAAATGTTTCAAAGTATTTGTACAACTAAGTGCAGTATATCTTTAAAGGTAATATAAATCTTATTATTCGTTAAATATAAACAAAATAAAAATCGTCGATTTTTACAATGCATATTAATCTACAATCATTCGCGAGGTTAATTATATCTATCATTAATTTCCGACCAGTTTGTTACATAGAAAAAGGCATATGAACATGTCGCGGACTCAGAAATAATCTGATTATCGAGATTGCTAGATGGTTTCATATTTTATTTACGTCGCAAGACGATGCTTGGTTTCGCCTGTATTTGGATCTATAATAACCTTCTCCTTGGCAACTTTTACTTTCGAAGAAGAGGTACCTAAAGAATAAGTGTTGATCGTTTCGGTGAGCGGTAGGAATCTACCGTCGGCACATTCCTTGAACAGTAATTCCTTCAATCGTTGACCCTTATCATTTTTGTTGTTCGCAGATATTTTCTCCATTGTCAGTGTCAGCAATTCAACAATAAGATAGGATTCAGGCTTGTATAATCTCGTGAAGTGCAGTTTGATATGCTCACCAATGTTTTCGTCTTTTCGCGGAATGTAATCGCAATGCGGGCACGGCGGCGTCATGCGTTCAATACCATGGCGACGCTTGTGTGAATCCATGACATCCTTATCGGTAGTGGAGAACGGACAGCTCTGGCAGCGAATTGTTTCCACATCGGCGTCGCTCGCTGGCGAAATGATACCCTTCTTTTGCATTAACAATAAACTCTGCCTATCTTGATTAGAGGGTTGTAGCGCATTGTTATTGAATGCGTTGTTAGCGGAAGATAACACCGTCGTGTTAACAGCAGACGATTTTGATGACTTACGTGACGATGCCGATACACTGTTAATAATGCTATCGCTATCCACTGAAATCCGATCATCCTCGAATTGTCTCCGAGATGCCTGCGCTTCTGCGTTTGCCTGGTGTTTTTTCAGATGCTGTACGTAATTCGCATAATATTTGACAGAGTAGTCGCACGTGGTGCAACGATAGCGTTGTTTTGCACCGTGTAAAGTTAGATGAACTCTGTACTGTTCACGCTTTTCAAAAGCGGACGGACATTTGTGACACTTGTAACGTTTTTCTTTCAGACGACCATTCCGTAGATAACCTGGATAAACAAAATTAGGATTGCCACGCATAAAGACACCAAATTGTGGATCCGGTGGTGTTTGCAGCGGAGATTCGGGGGGAGATGAAGCAGAATCTGCGGTAGATGTTAACTTCGCAGGTGGTTCGTTAATTTCGCTGCGTCGTCGATGTACCACTTGATGTTTTAATAGATTTTGTTCTGTTTTCGATGAATAATCACAGTCATCACATTTGAATCGATTGTTTGAACCATGAAGTGTCATATGGTATTCCAAAGCATCCAGTTTGAAGTAACGAGCCGGACACTTAGCACATGTAAATACTTGACCAGTTCTTTGAACGGTCTCCGTCGTGCCGTTGACACTGTTATAACTGTTTGCATTTTCATTGATTTCAACAACAATCCACGCGACGTTCAATGCATTGTCATTGTTTTCCCGATTATCCACTTCAACGCATGCTGTCGTAGGCGGTGGATAACGCTGCGAGTGACCGTACAAGGACAATAGATATTTGGTGCGCTCTTGATATTCTGTCGAGTGTGCTTTTTGATGAGCTAATAGATGCGCCGGCTGTCGCGCTGCATATGAACACCATTGGCATGAATATGCTAATAATGTGGAGTGATAACGCAGATGGATACGTAACTCCTTCTCACATAGAAACCGTGCTGGACACTTGCCACAACAGTGTACCAAACGGGAATCCTGCAGATCAGGCTCGGTACCTAGCGGGGGACTGTGCGCCAGACCAAGCAAAGCGACCAGATCATTTACCTGTTGAGAGTCGGGTCGCGTTTCGTCAAAAAGACAGTGAACAGTACCGAGAGATCCTGCATGCATTTCTGTATGGGCGATCATGACTTCCCGACGTGTGCAACTAAAGCTACAATCCGTGCAGGCAATCAAGGGACCCTGAGTTGGTACGTCTACATGCATTGTCTCATGGTCGCGCACTTCCGCACGTCGTGATGAGATATACGGACAATGGCGGCATTTGAGCATTTTCGTCAACGTGCCATCTGGTCGCGATACCCAAACTAGCGGAGCATCCGGAAGAGCACGAGTATCCAGAAGAAGCGACGGCAGTGGAGATTGTTGAGATTCTGTGATTTTTGGAGACGTCGTTACGTTGTTATGTGACGTTATCTGAATCATTCGTTCGATAGACGATTCGTCTTTTGTTCGAGAAATACCTGTAACAAGTGCTTAAATTACAGCGCATGTATAGTGTATGATTAATGCTTCCACACACACAGAACGTGGCAAGGCTTACCGTGTGATAGAAATTGGCGCAAAAATCAATCGATCTATCGCTTTTCTATGAAAGCGAAAGAATGATTGGCTATCATGTAAATTTCTGTTGCGCAAGCGTTGTCGCGTCTTGTGTGCCGGAACAATTAAAAAACAGCTGTGCTCGTTATACTTATAAATTCCGAAACATAACAGGAATAATATCTGCTCTACAACAGAGTCGCAAGTTGTAAGCCGTAAGAAATTGGCCAATCACAGTTGAATTTGAAAAAAATAATTAATAAAAATAAACTGATCGGTTAATTTCTTATGGACCTTCTACAATAAATCATAGATCATAAATTATAAGTCATAAACTAGAAATGGACCAATCACAGTCGTCATTTTTAGTTTCTTACTTCTGATTTATGACCTATAACTTATTGTAGAAGGCCTATTACCCCGGATCTACAATAGAGTTTTAAGCCTTAAGCCATAAGAAATGGACGAATCATAATCCATTATTCTCCTCGAATTCGACTGTAATTAGTTAATTGCTTAAGGCTTAAAACACCTATTGTAGGTCCGGGGTTACGGTTTATCACTTGCTTCCCTACTGTGGAACAAGCTTAAAAATACTGTCTCATGACAGTAAAAATTTCAGGAAATAAAATCTCGGAAAAATAATACAACCAACCAATCAGATTAGTGCGTTATTACAAAAACGTTAAACTTAAATGTAATTTATAAAACTTACTGCCTTCAGAAATTGATATTTGTTGCTGTTTGTTCTTGGGATTGGACAATGAGAAATCCATATTTTGTTGATGCATAGCTGCCAACTCTTCTCCGTGAAGTCTAGCGTGCTCCAACAGTTCTCTGTGACACAATAAATAGTGCAACTGCATTATATGTTGTATTATACTATTAAGTATATATCACACATATATATATATAACATGTTATATATATATATATATGATATACGAATATGCGTTAATCAGAATGCGTTAATATTAATGTAATTACTATTACTTTGACTGCCACATTTTTTAATCAGTCTCATGGCACCCCATTATTATTGTGTCTAATTCTTATAAAATGAATATAAATGAATAGATGACTTAGAATTTAACATATTTAAAATATTTATGGATATTTATCCCAAATGTGTAAAAGATACGTGATATGAAAATAATAAATATTAAATATTTCTGCGCTGTGTAAATGTAAAAAAACATTTATCGTCATTATAAATTCATATAGGTCGTATAGGTAATGCTTTAAAATATAATTTTAAGTAAATTGTTGACATTAAAATAGATTTTCAAATAAAATGTTTTTCTTTTTTTATCACATTAATAATTCTCTTGAGAATTCACAATATATATACTAACATTAACCCTCAGTTACTGTATGGAAGTATGGCCTCCTCAAAGCATTTAAAAATCAAGCAACATTTATAGAAACCGGGAAATTAAGGGATTGAATGTAGAAGAGGAGTGTATATTTCTCCTATCTAGCGTTATCAGTTTGTGTAAAGAAACTGTAATGTTTTTTTAATAAAAAATTGTGCAATTTTACTTGTCAAAATAAAATATATATACACATATATTTGCACGAGAATATTTTGACACATTTTTTTAGTATTAAGATATATACCTTCATCTGTTCATTTCTTTATTTCTTTTGTTTTTACCTCTATAATAAATATATATTAATGTTTTTGAAAAAGTTTTCGTGATTTTTTGTAAATTGTAAAAAATATTTAATAACAAATAATGTTTATTTCATAATTTTCGGCAACTTTGCTTATATTTACTTTTTTAGACTTTTTAAAATTAAAGATCTTAAGTTACTTTAATCAATGCATTTTACCGAAAATTATATAAACATTTGAACATTAATAGAGTATAATATACTTTTGTATGGATAGAGTCCTTAAAGGAAAAAAGTAAGAAATATACGGTAACTGAAGGTTAATACAAAACGTTTTCTACATAAACGATAATAAACAAAAAAGTGCGTGTTCAAATTGATATACATGAAAATCCACATAAATATGTATTATTATACATACACATTGCGATAAAAGTTAAATAAAAAAAAAATCAATAATGGGATTAAATCATAATTGGAAAAACGGAGCATTCATGTTAACAAAGCGAGTTACCAGCGACACATACGCCTTTGTACTAACGTAGTATGGACAAAGATAGCATTTAAATATAGCCTCTAAGTTCGGTTGATGGTGCATCTTGTGAATGGACAGAGTGGCAGCATCTGATGCTGAAAACGGACATTCCTCACAACTAAATGGATTCTGCGAAAGACGAAGTAGCGCATTAAATTAAAATGCATTAGTTACTTGAATATAAAGTTTAAAAAACAAGAGGTAGATTTCACATTATTTTATGTAACCTTCTTATGATCATATATTTGGTGTCGTGGAACTGTCACCATATTTTTAATACAAATTGCTTACCCTGTGTTTCATAACTAGTTTTACTAAGATATTTCTATTTCTTGTATTTACAATTTCTCATATTTAACCTCTCTTGTTTATTTAAAAGCACAGCAACATTGTTGACTATAAAGTTATATTTAACAGTGTAAAACTTACCTTTCCTTCGATAGATTCTTGATTAGCAGATTCGTAATGAGATTTAACATGCAGCAATATATTATCTTTGTTGGTATCTCGATAATTACAACGTTTGCACCTCCACTGATTCTGAGTACGTTTATTCTCATCTACCGCTGTAGATATAGAGACGGAACCACCACCACTAGAAGTCTGTACATGCATCGTGATAGGACTGTTTTTCAACAAAGATTGCCCGCGACTTCTAACCGCTGCTTTGAGTGGTGGTGGAGGTCGCATATCTACATTATGACTGTTCTGATTTGTCTCGTTTGTTGATAAAATTGTAATGGGAGATTGTGATGCTGAACTAGTCATTGGAACATATTCTTTATTGCCCACAATCAATAATTTTGTTGACAATTCTTCAGAGTTTGTTTCTTCTATACTACGCTGCTCCATACGATCCTCATCCCACGATTGCTGTTCTACCTGGAGCAGAGATATTGCGATATATAAACGGGATTTCATAGTAAAACATATTAGATTAAATTTCGGATGTCATGAAATATACTTGTCAAATAATATCACCAAAATTTTTTATCATGTTCATAATAAATCGGCGAATGTTTCGTTCAATTTTTACAAAAATCTCGAAAACATTGATCAAACTTTCATAAAGAAAGACAGGATCAATATCTTCCGTCTATTTAATTACTAAGAATATGCTTATAACAAGTGTTAAGTCATAATCAGATTAGAGATCAAGATTGAGATTGAATTAGAATTTAACAAACCAAAACAAAGTTTATTAAATTTGAGATTAATTTTCTTTCTTTCGATTGATTAAATTTAAATTCAATTTTAATCTTAATCTCTAGTCTAATTATGGCTTTACAATGCAATAGTGATCAAGCGTCCGAGCGCCGTATTGTGGTGCCGAGATTTTTTCATCGTACATCCTTTTCGCAAGGTAATTGATGTTGATCATTGAAATATTGCATCGATGTGAGATATAAAAACAATTATTCTACATAAAACTGAGATTCATTATTTCACCTGTGCGAGATATTTGTTATATTTGGAATAATTCCGTCGACCTGTCTCATCCGTCATGAGCACTCTGGCTCTCTTATGCACTGCGTCTTTAGCTGCTTTAAGCTTAATATGTTTTGTGATGTCCCATCGCCAGTTAGAACGATACGCGCACATTGAACACTCGAATGGCTTCCGGTTTAAATGACCGACTATATGTACGTGAAAGCGACTTGCGGTGGAAGCCCAAAATGGACAATGGGGACATTTGAATACCCGCCGCCCGCTCGGATGTGTCGGACCACCTTCAAACTGACAAAAATTTTTTTTATCTTAAGAGTAAAACCCTCCAGTAAAGAATTAGAAATGAACTAGTAACCAACCAGAAAAAGAGATGCTCGACATTCACTATGCAATATGTAAAGCACATTCTTAATAATAAATAAAAAATAAAACGAGGCTCACTCTAGTTTCTAATCAACTCTCACCATTTTGCGATACCTAAAGTTTCTTTATGCATATACTCCTACAAAACGTCTTGTACTAACACTAAACCAATACCACCAACAGCAATACTTATAAATCTTAAAATATTTTACAGAAACGCAAAATAAACCACATAGCCAAAATAGAGAAATCTTCACATAGCATTCTCATAATGTCTTCGACGACAAACTTTTCAAATTTCAGTTACTTTATACAGACTTTTGATGATCTCTTCGCGATTGTGCAGTAGTTTTCTTATCATATATTTAAATAATTATTATCAAGCATCGTACCGGAGGTCCAGAAGAATTTAATCCTTTGAGATTGGCGTCCCAATCCATTTGCGACGGAAAAGAGAATTCCTCACGGTACGAGGTCATGCGGATGTCCGAGCGATTCGTTACTTTCTCTAAACTACTATCGATGGACAGAGTTGTGTCGTCACGCGAATGACAGCATTGCATATGCGTTTGGAGATCGGTTGTACTCTTGCACCGTCTTCTACACTTAGGGCAACGTGTGCTCACGGACACGCTGAGCGCAGTGTGGTGCGTCTGTTTGTGGCAAGTTAGCTCTTCCATGCTACTAGCTTTATACGTACACCAGCATTTCAAGTCGTTCTCATTACTTACAGCTACCTCCGGTACACCATTATTAATCGAAGTCGCTGTCGTTGTTAATTTTTCCTTTAATTTATCGAAGAAGGAGGCATTCTTTCTCTCAAATACACCAGTCGCAGTATTGAAATTCCTCTTCGAATTCGCGGCCTGAAAACAGATGACAGCCAGCACCGATAAGACGGAGTGTTTTGCGCGTTTATATTGTATTTTTAAGGGCAAAAAAATTAATGATTTCAACCAACCCCCTTGCTTCCATACATCTTCGCGAGTTCCGTCTCTTTTGCAATTTGCACCAGTTCAGGTCTCACTCGAACGCGTGGAACTTTCAGCAGGGTTGTAGGTGGCCCACTATTGTTGAGAGTGTTATTCGACTTGGTGCTCGCAAGGCTCAGTGGAATTAACATTGGCAGTGGCTTTCTTGGCTTTGATGAGGCAACCGGCGCATGACATTCTGCTAAATGACGTTGCATCTCGGAATTCCAAGCTGTTATAAATTGGCAACCTTTCTCTTCGCATTTTAACGCGATGCACTCTGCGCTGGCCATGGCGCTTTTCTTATCGTCTATTGAAATTAATGAATGATCTGATACGAACGAGTCAGAAGAAGCGGCTGACGCGGTTGTACTTCCACTTTTACTTAACGCTTCTCGAAAGTCACTGGCTCCAACCTAGCGGACATTAAATACGTTATATGACGTGATTAATCAACGTGTTCTAACGTATATACGATAGTTTATGATTATATTACAACGAGTACTTGTTTATAATACCTGATTATAACGTTTTGGACTATTTCGTGGCTTACGTTCGAAAGCGTTATTATTTTTGCGGTTGATCTGACCCACAGGTGGGTCATGATGATACGACTCATGCACCGTTAAGCTCTGACGGATATCAGCAGTAAAATTACATGCACGACATTTGAAAGCACCTCCACCTCCATGATTCCGCATGTGTCTTTCTAGATTCCACTGAAAAACAGCGTTAAAGACACACATATAATCTATATAATTTCAAAAGTGTAATCTCGCAAGCTTCTTCACAAAACCCTGGAAAGTTTCTGACATGCTTAACGTATCGCTGGGAAACCAAGTAGTATGAGGAACAAACCTTATACGCTGAACTAAAATCACAAGCATCGCACTTGATCATCGGCATAGAATGATATTTAACATGCTTAGTATAACGCGCTCTGATGTGCGTCACGTAATCGCATTTTGCGCATCGAAAGAATTTTCTTTTCAAATGATGCACTCTTTGGTGATTTTCAAGATCTTTCACGTTCAATGCAACATACGAACACGCAGGGCAACGATTTTCAACTGGACTGTGCTCATTTTTGCCCTAAAAATTACAATAAAACATATTCCTGCGACCTATGAGTATGTATCTTGAATATCATTGTTTTATTTAGCACACGTCGCTCACTACGAAATTACGGTAATTGCGCAAAATAACGCACATTGCATCCCTAATGGCACGTATATATAGTTATCCTTCCGTTTTTAAAACGGAATTTTATTTCGATTTTGTTTAACTTTCCGTTTTAAAAACGGGGCCATTTAAAGGTACCCAATAGTTCAAGGAAGGGAAAGAGAAGAATAAAAAGAGAGAAAAGAAGGAGAGGAAAAAAAAAATAAAAAGAATACAAAAATATAAAATAAATCCCAAAAAAAAAAAAAAAACAAGAGAACATGAAACACTTCATTTCAAAACATCAAGGCAAGGTGTGTGTGTGTGTGAACGTTTGGTGCTCACCTTGTACTTGTGGTCCTTTCGTAGGTGCTCGAAGTAGGCCTTGATACTGGACAGCGATTTGGGCGGCTTGCAGGTCTTGCACTCGTAAGACGCCCGCTCATTCGTATCGATGTTGATCGTCTTCTTGGACATCGCTTTGACATCGACGTCGTCGTCCAGCGTCGCTTCCTCGTCTCTCTCGTCGATGGCGGTCAACGTCACCTCGTCCTTATCCTCGTTCATCACGTTCGTATTGCTTATCGCATCGCTGGACGTGGCCACCGTGTCTTCGTCGCCCTTCTTCGCGTCGTGTCCCTTCGCATCGTGCTCCTCCACCTCGTGACTCGCTGCTCCGACGGTCCCTTTAAGGTTACCTTCCGGTCTCGGCGTCGCGGCGGCGTCGACCGCAACGACGACGGCGGCCTCCGCCGTTCTCGCTCGCCTCTGGTGCTGCTGCCGCGGTCGCAATGCGCGCAACCGGGGCAGCTTACCCGACATCTTGGACGAGAGCCGCGTGCTTCCGCGCAAACTTCTTCGCTCGCCCTTGCCCGCCGCAGGAAACATGGCGCGAGCGCGCGCTCTCGTTTCTTTCGCCGCGCAGGAATGATTATTCACCACGTTTCCTCTCTACCGTCCGGCGTCCATCGTCGTCGAACTTTGGTCTCGCCTGGCAATAACGATTACGATTACACTTACGATTACACTTGCTATACGCAGCTGCCGCTGCTATACTCTCGCTGGCTGCTGTTACATTCACGCGTGTTGTACGACACACTATACGGGGGCGACGACGCTTTTCGTTATACGAACGCCTCCGTCCGACCGTTCTCGATTCTTTCGAGTGAAGAGCGATTAAAAACTTTTTATCGGCGCGATATCGCGGTTCGCCAGTGGCGCGCCGACTATGGTCAGCTTTATCCCGTTGTACGGTTATCGAGTCGTAACAATGCGATGTTTACTTGCCGTCGCGTCGTCCTCTTTAGCCATCGTGAAAAACGCGTGGCCCGAATCACGAATAAATTCCGGTTCAACGTTACGGAAATATCATACCGGATATACATAGGTATGCGCGTGCATGATCACGTCCGTTTTTTTCCTCACAATGGAAGCATCGGAAGCGACGCAACACGCGGCAGCAACAGCAGTGGCAGTGGCAGTGTAGCAGCGACGGTGGTGGTGGTGGTGGTGGTGGTGATACGATAGTGGTGGTGGTAGTTGCCCGCCATATTTTCTTTTTCCTTTTTCCCGTGTCGATCGTATAATAAAATTTTGGAAGATCCGGCGAGAAAATAAATTCCCACGCGATATTATCCCCGAGGCCACGAGACGTATTCGATCTCTCCTCTTTTTTTTTTATATTTTTTTTATTTTCCCTCCTCCTGCTGCTCTTCTCTCCTCCTTCTCTATTACCTCCTTCTTTGCCGCGCGCTGCAGAATCGCTCTAATCGCGCGGTGCCGCACCGCGAGGTTGGGATCTATCGGACGTACGCGCGTGCAGAGCAGGAGCGTATTGGCGATCGTTAATAGGTGTACTCGGCGAGACGAGGAGGACGCGCGTCGTCCGAATTGTCGCCCCTATGTTCTGTATTCACGTTACGTACAGTTGCGATGCTTTCGTAAAACGACACAGTTCGCGCAGCTTCTTTTTTTTTTTTTTTTTTACTACATGTATAAAATATCTGCGCTATACCGTTGCGAGTTGCGCATAACGATTGCGTAACGAATTACGGAATACAGGGGCAGGTCATGCGCGGCCATTGCGAAATTCACGTCGCGAAATCGCGCGTTGATATATCGGTGTATATAACTTTTGTTCTTTTTTTCCGTTCGTGCCCTCGAGCGCGATTTCTATACGTTTCCCAGATCGCGTCGTTTTTCGAGACAGCGCGAAAAAGCGAAGCCGTTTCCAAAAAAGAAAAAAATCGGTCGACTCTATAGGGAGTCAATCGCAACTCCTTTACTTTTTCCGTAACGTCGAGATATAAAGTTTAAAAAAATATATTATGTCCATGTACGTTATACTTATTATATACACACGTATGTACACATATAGGGGTACAACAATTTTCACTTTTCACATATATCTCCACCCCAGGGGAAGTTTCATAATCGATCTCCCGTTTTCCGTAGCTGAACAAATATGTGCACTTTCAGAACTCGAAGTGAGACAGTTATACATTTGGCTGCGTTCATGCGGCAGAGAATGGGAGTTCTAGGCTGATATCCAGTCTTATTATATATTTCGAGTAATAACCTTAAGACGCTAATACGGCCCTCTGATTGGTTCGTGATATCTTAAAACTGTACTTTAAGGCGATATCTTAAATATAAGATTGTGGATGGATAGTAGGAATAAAAAAATGGATCTGTATACACATAGAAAAATGTTCACGTTTCTGCGCCAGGGAAAAAGTTGTACGATTGATTCCTTTTCCTTTGTTCTCGCACCTTCCTGAGTTCTAGGATGCAAGAACAAAGGGGCAAAAGAGGGAGGGAGAAGCAGCCGCGCGGCCCTAACGTCGATACGGAGTCTCGTGTCGGCTCCTCTCTTCCGCTCCAAATGTCGCCGCGCACGGAACGTCGACGTAATTATGGCCGCGTTTTTCCCGCAGCAGCGACGATCGGCGTTCGATGGCTATACGTCCCGATCGACGTGTCACCCGCGCGAGTCCGACGTTCTTAAGACTTAAAGACTCTTCCCACCGCTCTCCGTCGGCGCTTAAAAGGAAGTACCACGTTTGCGGGGTAGAAGGGGGGAGTCGCGCGGAAAAGCGCAGAGGCGGGTATACGGCCGAGTCGACGATGGCCACGACCGTGACGATACACCGCGACAATCGGTCGGGAAGACCGAATCAGTATTAGCTTATGCTTATACGATCACGCGTAGATCGAGTTTAGTCAAGTGGCTCCCCACGGCCGGCCGCGGGGAACAGTATCAGCGTGCCGCGTACGCGGCGCCATGATTAACCCCGGCGCTGTCGGCCAACTCTCGCTGCGATACTCTAAAGTCTAGTAATATATGTATAGTTGGAGTAGATGCCTTTATCCGCGATCCAGCCGTCTGAGTGAATTGAATTCAAATGATAACAAAATGGACCGAGATGCTACATTCTTTTAACTCCCAGCTCCTTCGAGGAGCTCCAGAACCTTTTCTGACGTGCACTGAGAAAAAATTGTTTATGTCACTAAATTAATTTATACAGGTTGTCTTTATCATATTTTTTCCTTGCAGTTAGAGAATGCATGTATATTTAATTCAAATATATACATTCTTCATTGAAGGAAATAAAAAAGGAACTAAATTCATTTAGTTAAATAAATAATTTTTTCTCATGAAGATTCTGTATGTTAACTATAAAGATTTTCGAAGTTGCTGAATTTGATTCTGGTTTTAGAATTATAAAATTTAAATTTCATAAAAATAATTTGATTTTCGTGAAAACTGTCGGTGTCAGGAGGTTTTTGGCATCTCTAAGTTGAATTTATACTAAACCTGAAAATATATCGAATTTTAAAAGGATAGCAATCTGCAAGAGAGAATATAATGTTACAAAGTTCACATAATTATTTGAAAGTCAGTATAACTTCTAGCCAATTTTTGGCACATGCCACATGTATACATACTGTAGAATTTTCATTACATCGTATAGCATATAATGATAAAATAATGTGAATAAAATATATGACATAAACACATGATGATAAAATACTAATATAACAATACAATATTATTAATCTTGATCTTGTGTGATTCAATATTATTAAAATTCACTTTCTACTTTGTATCATTATCTACTTATTTTATCATTAAAATTTTGCATGAAGTTTTACATTATGTGTAAGCATTTATTTTTATAAATGTTTCAGAAAATTTCACTAGCATCGGTCACGGCAATTATTTCAGATGCTTTCTAAGTATCTCTAATCATTAGTTTATCTATTTTTATTTCTAAAAATAAAAAAATAAATAGTGAAATAAATTTTAAACCAGGATTAAAATTAATCTTACATTTATGTAGAACTGAACCTATATGTCGTGTTCTCTGCCATTAAACGTGTTCTATAACAGGGTCGTATAAATCGTAAGCCGTAAAAAAATTAACCAATCATAGTCGCTTATTTTTTTCATATTCAACTGTGATTGGCCAACTTTTGCGACTTACGACTCGCGACTTATCGTAGAACAGGCTTTAACCGAACTCCGACAGATGCGCGCGCGCGCGCAAGTACACGATCGACTCGGAGGAATCATCGTCAGTGATTGGCACGTCAATTCACTCGACCTATGATTCCACCGTCGATCACCTCCATTCCACGATTTGTATTTTTCACCTTCTTTCCTATAGACACGAGAAAACGTAAATCAAGAGGAACAACCGAAAACAGAAAGGAATCAATCGGAGGCGGCCATATTGAAAGGCCAAGATTCCTCGAAGCCGAAGATCCTTGCCCTTTTCCTTATCTATTTTACTCGCCCAAGTATATTTATATTTCCGACACTCTACGGAAGACGGTTCGCGGATATATTAATAGCGCGTAATAGTATCGTCTCGAGACGATTAATTGGAACAAACCTTCGTACCACCTGATCCGAGGCGGTAAAGTCTCTCTCTCTCTCTCTCTTGTAGAGTATAGGTCGTCTCGATATATTATTCTCGATACACGACCACTTTATCGGCAACGAGACGACAATTAGCGTCGTGTGTCATCAGCAACGGTGCGGACGGTCGAGTAATCGAGCAGCCAAGCAAAAGAACCCCCTCGAAGATCCACTAATCGTCGCAGACCATAATTCGTTCCTCCATTCATCAGTTTGTCTCTGATATACACGTTGCGTGGATTCCGCCTCGGAAGTACATCGACGACGATACGAAAAAGATCGTCGTCGCGACGCCGTATAAGTTTCTCTCTTTCTTAATCTTCTTTTTCGCCTCCCCGCCCCCCCCCCTCTCCTCTCAATTATCTCTATCCCTCTCTATCTCTTTTCTTTACCTCTCCCTCACTCCGCTCCAACTAGTTTAATTCTTGCCGAGCTCTTTTTCCGTTCTCTCCGGTAAAGTCCGGCTTCGATCACGGATATATATCGCTCTTTCGTCACCGGAGTATAAGCACTGGTCGTCGGAGCGGATGGCGGATCGTAGAAAGACTACGAGAAGGCGAACAGGCGCAGCCCCTTCCCTCCCCCCACCTCCGCCGCGCCCTTGTGGTCGGCCGATCAGCAGAGGCGACGGCGATGGCGATGGCACGGTGACGCAGCCCGGGCGCCCTCTGCAATTCTGTGCAATTCCGATTCCGTCCCGACGCCGGAAGAAGTGCGTCATTCCTCTCGACGATTCCTTCTTTTCGGCGACTCGTCTCAGGGAGTGCTATTGTTCATATTTGTGTGCAGGGCAGAGAGAGGCCCTCGGTTTCCTATAACTAATCAACAGGCTTGAAAAATTTGTCGTGTATACGATAAAAGCGCACAAATGAAACAGCGGTCTCAGGCTGCATTTCCTTTTGAAAGACACAGTCGATATACCCGCAGAGTTGTTGTGTCGAGTGGACCACTTTTCGCAATTTCGACTCAAGAAGCAAATTTCCGATGAAAATAATTGGGTCACCGTTGCCCGATTGATGTTAAATTTTCATATATTGAGCAAGCAAACTGCGAAAAGTAGCCCAATCTGACAGCCATGGTCGACACAAATGTTGCTCTGTCCTTCTTGATATTCATGGTGAATAATGAAAACAGAACGACATTTATTGTGTCTCTTAATCAATTCACCGGAAGTCCCGCGGTTCTAGGCAGTGCCCGAGGGAGAATTTAAACTATTCACGTCATTCGGATGTTTGATGACATTTAATTACACAGCGAACAACCGGGGAGCTCCTATAAATGCATCAACTATAGCTAGAAAAGTACGAACGTTGAAAGTATCGAGTATCCTAGGTAACAATCTTTTCTCTAGGGTGAAAACATGAAAATATAATAAAATTATCACACATATGCGTGTACACGACATGCATAAACACTTTTTACTTTCTACGTTTCCGCGTCAAGGGAAAAATTATACACGGCTGATCCCCTGGGTATGGATTATGGAATTATTCGGAATGAATTCCGCGATCGAAATTACTCCATTTTCCCTAAAAGAATATACTTATAGAAATATATAGAAAACAATCGAATACTTCGAGATGGAAAATATTTCGAATATAGCTCCAAAAACGTATCCTACTCCCCGTTTCCAATCTCAGAACGGTCCATTTTCATCCTTTCTATTCTCGTCGTTGCGGAGAGACGTCTTCGTCGCACATATCTTATTTTCATCCCGAGAATCCTCCTCTCCCGCGGCGGTATAACACCATTACGATCTATCATTCTTATAATAAGTCACGTCTCTTATCGTTTCGCTATTATTACTGCTAATTGTCTCTTTCCTTCCTCGCGAACTCGCTATATGGACTCGGACGACGAGAGCGTCTCTCCCTCGCCGCGTTGCAGCTCTCAGGGTCGCCTACTTTCCGGTCCTGATGGAAAACCCACGTCGGTTCGTCTCGGCGGTTCTCGGTCTGCAGATCCCGCGGCGAGAGCCGAGAGAGCAAATCCTCGAAGCCGCAGAATATATATATCGACACGCTGACCATGTGTCCCGCCGATATATCGTTTCCTCCGGGGCGGAGCAAAAGCGCGCTCGTATACAGGGTGTCCCAGGCGTGCGGTCGATGCGCTTATTTCCGTCGGCGGGAAGTGACCGACGGTGGATTTTGCTTGTTTTGCTATTGTGTTTTCAGGACTAAACATCCAATACGCGATTCTGAGGCCGGCATAGAAATCGGGGGGATGCGGCAGCTGATCACGTACAACACATATCCTACACCCCACCCACACGCGAGGTGATACGCGTGCCTTCTATATATTCCCGTTCCGGAATCTTAAGCACGCATTATGGAATTATTCGGAATCGAATTCCAATCGGAATTGTCCAATTATTTTCTAGATTTCAGAATAAGTAATTGCAATAGAAAGAGAGCATATAATAATGATATTATTTCTTATTATTATATTATTTCGATATTATTATTCAATTGGAATTACGTCCATTGAAATATTTTACAATACTCCAAGTGACTTATTTAATGTTTCTCATTGGAGGGGGGGAACAAAACGTGTAAGTCGGAAAATATTATACGTCTCGTCATTGCAGTATAATTTAATGAGGCGTCAAATAATTATCGCGTGGAACACAATACAATAACAATTGAATGTTTTGCAACGTGTGAAACGGCGGCGCGAGCAAGAGGTACGCCAAAGTACTTTTACCCTCTACAGAAGAGAGGGGAGGGGGGGAGATGTTTATCTTCAAAGGTCACGTGAGAATTACGAGGATTACGATCAGGAGTTCCCATATCAAAATATGTGTTTTTTTTTTTTTTCCTCTTTGCGACATCGTGATATACGCGAGTATACCGTACGTGACATCACCGGACGAACGTCGTGTCGGAAGAGGCGACCTTTCGGAGCGAGGCGCATCGCGCAACGGTCGCGATAACAGCACGGATGTGTGCGTGTGCGCAATAGGGCGTTACGCAAACGCGTGCCTCTTACCTGCCGAGAGGCGCGCGTGCACGTGTCTCGCGACGCCATTGAGAAGAATATACGCTGGAAAGAATGTATGCAGCGTATGAAAATGACGAAGAGGAATTTTATCAGAGATCGTGCCAGCCCTCTGCGTCAATTTTCATTATACTGTCACACTGAGTCCAAAGTCTGGGGATGACCGAAGAACGCAGACATTTGTTAATTAGTCGTTTGATTGTTGACGTATAATATTATTAATATAATATTCAACTTTAGTAACACATAATGTATATAGATTGTCTATCTCTTCAGATATACTCAGCAATGTATTGAAAACAAATTTTTCGAAATTTGTGAAATCTAGCTCTGTTATAATCGAAAGGCGATATGTTATATAATAGAATCTGACAGCAATTAAGCCGACAGGAAACAAGCTAACGACGGTTCGTTTCCATTGCAGTTTTTTCTGGGAGAATAGAATAATGATGACATTTTGTGTCGACTACAGAAAAAATTCAGCAATAGAATATGATGAGACGTGGCTAAAATCTCAGAGGTACACCATATTTCATTAAAATGGTATTTTATATTTTAATAACATCTTTTTTCTATTGGCAATCTTTTATCGGATTATATCAATAGGTTGTGCTGAACATGATATATGAGTTTAATCAAGCGGACGTAGTTAATTGATATACTATGATATTCTATTTGAATTTATTGATAAACTTTTAACTGTATACTTTTAACTCCTGCTCATTGGAAGTGAACGAAGGTGATCGGGTTAATGCACGAATGTTTAGTCCCGAGAGAGCTGAATACACAATCGAACTGACATTGACGAGTTGTTCATAGAAATTCAATTATATCTGTAACAGAGAACAAATATTTGTTTTGCATTTATGCGATCGAAGAGATTTGATCGCAGAGGTATTGGACAAATTACGTAATAATTCGATGCGTGGTAGATATGCGATAAAGCACATGAAAGACATTTAATTTTTTCGATGACGGAAATCGAAAGTAACAATAATTTAAACCGGCTGATAATTAATTTTTATAAATATCCTTGAATCAAATCCCATTCTATTTAATCCATCTGTATTATTTGCTATATGTGTATACTCTTTCTGAATAATTTTTCTTCTAAAACGGAGATATCTTATCTCGGATATGTTTCACATGGCAGTGAACTCGGTGGATAAAAGCGAAGTGCATCACGGTGTTGATAAAGTAACTCGTTGATGATATCGACTCACGTTTCGCCAATTCGCTATTATCATCCAATGATATGTACATACGTGAGCAGTTTGAGAAGTCAGTGATTTTTTCAAAGGACCGATATTATAAATTAAATAAAATTTGAGTAGAACAAAAGTAAAATAGAAGTCATTGACTTATCAAATTGTCTCCACGTATATAAAACGCGAGTTGAATCGTTGAATGTATCGGGTGGATCGAGCAATAAATTGGAACATTGTTGATGCAAAACATGATGACACAACATATATTTCAGAACATTAGAATGATTAGAATATTGAATACGTTCCACTCGCGATGTTCATTTCATTTTTGTTGTTTATCGAATGTTAAACAAGAATAAAGGCTTGCGAATTAGAGATTATATAAGGATTTTGCATTAGAGATTAAATTAGACATTCAGATAATTTTAATAAGTTTCATTCTAATTGGTCGAATTAATCTTTAATTCGCAATCCTCAATCTTCATGTAATGTAACGGGCTAATAAGTCGCGATACGCGATTATTACATAAGACGGGAACTTGAAATTCTCGTATATAATATATAAAGAATTTATAAAGATCGAGTTTTAAGAGGTTTACGAATTTTTCCATGATTCATTAGACTATCAATGTCGAGATTTTTAGAGATTTTACCAAATTTATTGATGGAGTATCATAAAAAAATAACAAGTCGTTTTGTGTGTGTGTAAAATATTTGTCTTCTATAATAGCCACATATTTAGTTGATTTGATCTTTGCTGATATAAATAGAAACATTTGGAATATTTATACCTGGGAAGTTTATTTCTACCAAAATAAAGTAATAAGATCAATGAAACAAAGATTATAATTTATCTATAGAAAACTATAAAAATTTAAAAATACATAAAATCACGATTTTCGTGCATTTTTTAATATAAAAAATTAACGTTTCCATATATTATAGTAATTTTTTTTTATTTATTCTAATTATTAAAATTTTTTGCGACAATCTCGACCAAACTCCAATTAATTTGATCGGTGAAATAGCTTGCAAAAAATTCCAACTACATAAATAATTCGCCGTCTCTAATTTTTTATTTTCAAGCGACAACAAACAAATAAATACATGTTAAACGATAAGAAAATAATAATTCTGTTCTGCATGTTAACAAAATGACACAGTATCATTTAACAAGTTGGAGTTTGGTCGAAGTGATTCGCTAATCAATGTTCGTTCAAGGATCTTTTATTTTGACAAATTTGAATAGAATAGATCGTTATATCGGTTTGCATAAGAAACAGTTGGTCTCATTATCGTTTCTTTTCCATACATCTTGCTGATAACGTTAAGACTAGAGTACATGTATACGTAATTTTATAAATTATGCAACGTCAAAGATAATTATGTTTTCCATCGTTTTTGCTTGGGTTGCAGTTGCAGCGAAACGAAAATCCCTATCTTAATGTTAGCATAACATTTGTTCATACCACTCGGACGAAATTAAGTAATCACGACAGTTGATAACTGATTGCAAACTTTACTGATTAGTTGTTGTTCGCCACGCGATAGATCATGCGACGTATTTTCTTTTTTATTCCAAAAGCTTAATGTTATATTAATGATACCGAATACATCTATATAATGTACCTTGAGAATGTCTTTGGATCGCGGAATGTTAAGAAAATGCGATTTAACAAATAAAGTTTTCATCCTAAAAATTTGTACTTTTTAATTTTCCAAGGATTTAATTTCATCGAGAGAACTATATTAATGCAAAATGATGCACAAGGTGTCTTAATATAAACTTATGTATAATATTAATTTACATTAACTATTGTATGATTAAAAAATTTATTTAAAAAATCTATACAATGTTGTTTATATAAATATCCTTTATACCTTTATTTTTTTATCAAACTGTTGCTCGATTAAATTACTTTGTTCATTTGTAGTTCGACGTATAAATTCTACATTTCAAAATGCAATTACGATAAAGAATAATTTAGAGCATCGATTATTTTGCTGGATTGAATAATTGTACAATCATTAGCCAATATCAACGTTATCTTGCTTTTTATATCTATATTGCTTAATATATGACTTAATATATTCCATAGCTATCGAGAAAAATATGAGGCAATCAGTTTATGACGTTTTGTAAAACGAATAGTCTGATTAATGCCTCGAAGATTAATCGAGCGTAATATCGTACGATGTGGCGTGAAACAGAAAAAAATTTGACGTAACTGTGACAATTTTATATGCATGTAATTATATATAAATGTAAATATATAATATATGCTCAATGAAATCTAGCTTTTTCCCGTAACCACGTAAACATTTCTTTCTTTTCATTACAACGTAATGACTTAATACTTGGCCCGTAGGCTACGTCCTTTGTCATCAACGAGTCACGCTTTGAGTTGTTTCTTCAAATTATCAGCAAGCTTGTCCATAAATTCGAATGTCTCGAGGTAATCAGACCTGGTGACATTGTTCATACCCTTGATACATATGGCGAGATCTTTGGTGAAGAAACCAGATTCGATGGTGTCGATGCAGACCTTTTCTAACGTTTCGGCAAAGTGTCGCAAACGTGGATTGTCATCAAGTTTAGCGCGATGTAATAAGCCGCGGGTCCAAGCAAAAATAGACGCGATCGGATTAGTGGACGTCTCCTTGCCCTGCTGATACTGACGGTAGTGTCGGGTAACTGTACCATGGGCGGCTTCGGCTTCAATCGTGCGACCATCCGGACATATGAGGACCGATGTCATCATGCCCAACGAGCCATAGCCCTGTGCCACCGAATCCGACTGTACATCACCGTCGTAGTTCTTACACGACCATACAAAACCACCGTCGGATTTCATGGCGTAGGCTACCATATCATCGATCAACCGGTGTTCGTACCATATCTTCTTCGCCTCGAACTGTTGTTTGTATTCCTTGTCATAGATCTCCTGGAATATATCCTTGAAGCGACCATCGTACTTCTTGAGGATCGTGTTCTTCGTGGACAGGTATAGTGGATAATTACGCGACAGTGCGTATTGGAATGAGCTGTGGGCGAAAGCGCGAATGCTCTCGTCGGTATTGTATTGAGCCTGGGCGATACCAGGACCTTGAAAATCGTGAACGGTGTACTGGATCTTCTGGCCGGAATTGCCAGTCCACGTAATTTCTAGTTTACCTGGACCCGGCACCACGAAATCCGTAGCTTTGTACTGATCGGCGTGCGCGTGTCTGCCAATAATGATTGGCTCCTTCCAGCAGACTACTAGACGCGGTATGTTCTTGCAGATGATCGCCTCGCGGAATACCGTGCCGCCCAGGATGTTCCTGATAGTGCCATTCGGACTTTTCCACATCTGTTTCAGCTTGAATTCCTCTACCCGTTTTTCATCGGGCGTGATAGTAGCGCACTTGATGCCAACATTGTAACGCTTGATTGCTTCCGCGCATTCTACTGTCACCTTGTCATCTGTAGCATCACGATTCTCGATGCCCAAATCGTATGTATGCAATTCGATGTCTAAGTAAGGCAAAATGAGTTTCTCCTTAATCGAATCCCATATGATACGTGTCATTTCATCGCCAAGAATGTCAACAACTGGACCTGTCTAAAGGTTACAAAATATTTCCAAGATTACTTCAAAATCAAAACAGAACGAGAATACTTAATAAATTTTTATCCTTCTGGACAAACTCTTTTTAGACATAAGTTCCATTTTGTAAATTAATATTAATTAAAAATTGATCTTTTTGAAACACTACAATTTATATCAAAAACTCAATATTTCAATATTTATTTTAAATATACAGTATTTAAATATTTTTAATTGCTCTATATATATATATATATATATATATATACGAATTTTATAATATTTATATGTTCAAAATTAGCTATAATATTCATGAGTTTTATATTAATGAAATAAAACGTCAGACATTGGTGTTAAAGTCCACTTTCACACGCTTTGAAGCGATGGAAATCGGGATTATTATATACCGGTTTTAAATCCCTCCTCCTACTTTTTTAACCCCGCCCCAGGACATCAATTATGTAACACCTTCTCTAGAAATGTGAAAAGTGAAAATTATTATGAACTTATCCACACGCAAGAATTTCATCTTTCGCGTTTCCGTTCTAGAGAGAAAGGGTTACGTGACTGACCTCCCTGACGAGACAATGTCATTTTGGAGCAGACAGGTTGATTCGTATTTACCTTGATTTTTGCCATTGTCACGAATGAGGCGCCGAAAACGTGCTTCACGAGTCTTTCTGCCAATGACGGATGTTGCAGCAGGTGGCGACGGTGACAATCGGATTCTCGCACAGCGAGCGGGGACGACAGCGACGACGATGACGTGACACCGTAGTAAGTGGCAGACTGTAACGAGTGTACAGTCCTTATAAAATGCGCGTACGGCTGGAGGGCACGGTGGGGCGCGAGCATGGCAGTAAATGACCAGTAAATGACGCGTGTCACCCACCTCTCCACCTATATGCGTACTTTTTTTTTAATATTCCCACCTCCTCGTATCGTTTTTTCTATCTTTACTCTTGTTTCCTACTTCACGACGCACTTGATCCTTTTTTTTTTAAAATCAATTGTTAACGCGACGTAGAACGTTTAGCCTAAGATTGATCTGGAATCACTGATAAGAGCTGATTGTCGCGCTGAAGTCACATCAGTCACATGTCCGAGTCTTGGAGTTTGTCCTCTAGAAATTCTCGAGTGAAATTTAAGTAATTCATCTCTGGCTCTTTATCTTTATCTTTCTCTTACTTTCTTATGCCGAGAATGAACGCGACGTAACTGACGTAACTGAGCGATGTGGGGGAGAGGCAAGTGCGTTTTGTCGCATTGCCTGCTATCGTGTCGGTTTGCATTTTTATAGAGAACGCGGGCGAGATGCATCGATGTGACGTGTGATGATACTTGAAATTTTGCGTATCTAAGGAATTCTCTCGACCTTGTGATCTTACAATCCGACTTCACCGAGATTCGGAGTCGCACTCCATCAAGCGCTGTTTCGAGATATTCAGGAGATATTTCGAGCACTGTTGCTACAATTGGCTATAAAAAAATGTAAATGATGGGCAACGTAAACACATGAATCGTGCTTTCTTTTGAAGTCACAGCGTTTAACGTTTCCACTGTTTTTTCCAGTAAGAGCCGCCATGTTGCGCGATTTGTCGGAACAATTCTCACTATCAGAGGTTGTAGTTGGCGACACTTTTGTATCTAGGAGATAGATGCTGCTATTGGACGTAAAAAGTTACTATAAGGGCCAATTCGCCATGTTGCGCGATTTGTCGGAACAATTCTCACTATCAGAGGTTGTAGTTGGCGACACTTTTATATCTAGGAGATAGATGCTGCTATTGGACGTAAAAAGTTACTATAAGGGCCAATTTCACCAACGTCGGTTAAGCTAACCGACGGTTAATTCCAATGGAATTTATCCAATCGCATTTGTCTTTGACCAGAATGAACCAATCACGACTGACACTTTAACCGTCGGTTAGATTAACCGACATTGGTGAAATTGGCCCTTAAGTCTGTTCGTATTGCTTGCACTTTTACGTTCAGCATCTTCGCTTTCTCTCTTTTCAACGCCCGAATATGTATATATCTATCTCATTTTAAGTTCAAAAATTTTTCGGGATTTCAAACAACACGAACAGACTTTAATGGGCCAGAAGAGCAGAGGGGGTAAGCGCGTAAAAGGTTGATTTCCGTGAGAAGGGACGGGAGCCGGGGAGGCATGATAAACATAAACATTCAAAGGGCATGTTTCATAAAGTACAAATAATCATATAAACGTAATAGAGGATAACACGGATGTTTCTTTGACATTTCGATAGATTGGATGGATATTGCGCGATAGAATTACAATCACGATACGTGCGGCCGTGCACCGTCGAACGTAACGTTTCGTAATTCGTTTCAACATTAGGTGTTTCAACATACAATGTTTTGACGGGTGCGAAGTAACGTGATGTTCCACAGCTTTATGACAGAAGCGTGAACGAGGCAGAGTGAACGATGAGCCGCCCTAAATGGGACGTGCTATGGTCCCCCTTTCACTCGGACCGATTTATCACATGGGATAGCGACGCGTTATTGAACCTTTATGAGATTGGACCGCGTGATAATAGCGTACGGGAGAATGATCAAACTTGTAAGTTTATTTCCAATGCCACACTACATTTACACTTTAATAAATGTTTTATACTTGTATATAAAACATATATAATATGTACATATATATATACATACACATGTTTTTTTTAATACAGATCTACAGATCTCAGAGAATTCCATTGCAGAACTGGTCTGCTCAGTTACCATCAACAGTTATGCAAAATGCGTTGATATATATCCGCAACCAGAGCCAGAAATTGTAGCCAGTGGCCATGCGAATGGAAAGATAGTTCTGAGCACTCTTAGTCCGCCAGAGTTTGATTACCAGGGCTTGGTGGGCAGAGAGTTTTGTAGGGCTCATTATGTTACATTGTTATTGAACAATATTAATGTCTTGACGATACACATTATTTAATATTTTTTATCAATATTATAAAATTTCAGTTCCAAAATACATGCGATCATGCAACGTTGTTGCTTGGAATCCTGTGGAAACTCATCTGATCATGTCAGGTCTAGATAAACACAGCAAGGAGCACTCTGTACTGCTTTGGGATGTGCATCATTGTCCAAAAGGTTCAGAACGACCAATAATAGAAGCTGGTATATCAGAAACTGTACATTCCGCCGCTTGGTTTAAACATGAATCAAAATGTTTGGCTCTCGGTGTTAATAACAAACAGTTGAAAGTTATAGATTTCAGAGGTACACTCTTAAAAGATACAATTGATGATTCGTTAATGTACATTGTTGATATTCTTTAAATTTTTTTAGATTCTGCAAAAATGGTGAACGTTACTCCTACAAAAGCGATATATAATCTGTCGGTAAATCCGCATAATAATTATCAGCTACTTTCACATGTCGACAATTTGATAACAATTTGGGACACTCGATGTTTTGAGAAACCGATCGTTACTATAATGCCGCTACGGCATGTTACAAAGGTGCTGTGGTGTCCCACTAGACGAAATCTAATTGGCACATTACAAAAAGATTCAGGTATATATATTGCAGTTTTAAACTATATTTCTATAATTTATAGTTATTTTTATAAATTAACGTCAGAAATATTTTCAAAAGCTGTTAGTGACAAAAAAAGTGAAATGCATGTTGTTATTTTGTAGTTGGCTTGCATCTATTCGACATTCAGTACTGTGGAGCAGAGGATACTGAGCCTGGTGTTTTAGAAAGAGTAGTTCTACCACCATGGCACAGTCCCGTAAGTTTCTCATGGCATCCGACTGATGAGAATCGATTGTTGGCAATATCGCTGCAAGGTATTTGATGATATTTTATTTACAATATATAATCCTCTAATTTTGTTCAAGATTATTATAGTGTTCTTATTACTCAGGCGTAACCGATTATACAGTATCTGAAAGAATAACACTGAATTGGTCTGCTCGGTCATGCCTCATGTGGAATTGCGCTTTTAAATCGTTTAAATATATACACAGTGAGGATAGCGTTTATAAAGAACTAGATGATATCTCGGTTTTAACTAAGAGGCGTGCTTTGTTCGAATATGGTTTGTTTGTAAGTAAATAGAGCTAATGAAAATAATTTTGATATTTCCTTAATAGATTTTTATTTTGCTTTCAGTTTTTTGTTTGCCTCTTTTTCTTTAATTTTATTATTAATGATATTTAATCAGTATAAAGTTATATGTACGTACGTTTACAGCCGGAGTTAGCTCACAATGGCGATATAGCCGAAAATGAAACTTTAAAGAATTTATGGCAATGGTTGTACCTTAGTCGCTCTTTAGTAGAAGACGGCACTATACAGAGTCCTGATAATAAGCATCCTGGTGTGAGGTAAAATTATAATGCCTTATAGTTGGAAGTATATATGTATAAACGTAATGCCTCCAACTTTTAAATAGGACAGTTTTGAAATTGGATCAACAAAATCCAGTCAATGGTTTGAAAACGGAAGTGGTCCATCGTCCATGGACGGATATAGGTACTGGCTATATGACAAAAGTTTACAGGTACAGTTTGAGTACATACAAATATTCAGAAAATATGAGTATTATAGTATTTTCATCTAATGTCATTTTGATCAACACCGATCGTAGATCACCGGACAGAGAAAGATGTCTTCTCCTGTGCGGTTTGCGATTTGATAGAGAGACTAATACAGCATATGATAATGCGTATCTAGAGAAGCTAGAGAAGGAAGGCGCATATGCAAAAGCAGCCGCATTTGCGGTATTTAATCTCTGCCTAAGACAAGCTATAGATATCTTAAACCGAGGGGCCAGCAAAAAACAAACAGCTATTCTAAATATGGTGGCTATGGCACTGTCAGGTTTCTCTGAAGAAAGTACTACATTATGGAGAGAGTCGTGTCAGAAATCTAAATCTCAGTTATCAGATCCTTATTTAAGAGCAACATTTGGTTTTTTGACCGCCGATAACGATTCCTATGAAAGTGTACTTGTAAGTATGTATAAATAATGGATCATTGACGAGGTGTTCAATAATTAAATCTATGTTCTAGAATGAAAATGGCATGGCTGTCGAAGATCGAGTAGCATTTGCTCTCATGTTCTTATCGGATAATAAACTGCACGAGTATTTGAAAAAATTGACTGAGAAAGTAATTGAAGATGGAGATCTAGCGGGCTTCTTGGTTACAGGTTGTCACTCGAATGTTTTGTATTTTTATGAATATACAATATTAATTATGTGCTCATTTGTAACGCATTGTTGTACTTCAGGTGCGAGTATGGAAAGTATACAGTTATTGAGTAAATACTTGGAAATCACTTCAGATGTTCAGAGTTGTACTCTTATTGCTATCAGAACTTTTCCGCCTAAGTTGCTTCAAGAGAATCAAGTTCAAGTATGGATTGCAAGGTACAATCAAGTTTCTTTCATAAATCTTTTATGGAATTATTCCCGAAACAGATTATATTATTTTCTCTTTCATTTATTTACAATCTTCAATTTTCCAATCTTCTGTAAAAACATGAAACAAGGATCGAAATTGAATTTAAAACCTGCAGATTATCAATCGATCGCTGTGTGATAAAAGTCACGCATCGGCTCTCTTATAAATATCGAATGATCAGACGTTCTGCATGTTGCTGTTACAGTTACAGACATCTCTTAAACGCGTGGAAATTATGGTTTCAAAGAGCCAAATTTGATATTGTCACGAGGTCCTCGACACCACAAGAGAGACCGCCGCAACAAATACATATATCTTGTCACTTTTGCGGTAAAAGTATATCTGCTTCCATGCAAGGACTAAGCAGGACGAGAGTTCCATTCGGCAGATTAGGCAGTACTCCTAACAAATTAAAGGTACATTTCTGTTTGATTAGATTTTCGTATGTGAATCATTAATACATTTATCAGATCTGGAGTTTTTTGATGGTATAAGTCTTTTCTTAATATTTCTTTTAATTACAGATGACAGCGTGCCCAAATTGTCGTAAACCTTTACCACGTTGCGCAATATGCTTGATGCACATAGGCACCGTCAGCGGACTGCAGACAGCTCCTAGTCCTGGTGGTACCAGAAACGAGGAATGCAATGCCAAGCTTACGGAATTTAATAGTTGGTTTTCATGGTGTTTAACATGTAAACATGGAGGACATAGCGAACATATAGCTCAGTGGTTTCGGTAAGGATACAAGATCGCATTTATATTGACCTGAGTCATATAAATTACGTTAATTAATAAAATGTAGGTTAAATAAGTGAAAATCAGCTAATATATGTGAATAATATAATATAAATAAAAACGCCTTATTCAAAGCGGATTTTTACTGCAGTTGACACAAACATTGTTCTATCTTTTGTCGCATTTGATGAAAAACAAAGATAGAGCGACACCTGTATAAAAGGAAAGCAGCTATTTTTTATATAAATATTTATATATATTTTTCAATTCCTTAGATTGTGCGCAAATAAAATATAATCAAAAGTCGATATATTGCTATAAATGCAACGCTATTCATTTTTGTACCTGGTATGTTTCAGACAACATACTGAATGTCCTGTAACGTCTTGCAATTGTCGCTGCTCATCTTTGGATTACACGCGTAATGCAACTGTGACATAGGTATAATTGAAAAATTTAAATATTCTTATATATATATATATAATTACTATTGAAATAATGTTATTATATAATTATAAAATTTTGCATGTTTTGTATACTTATGAGGTCCACTGAATCAATTTTATGTATATACAAAGGAATGCATGTTTTTCTTTTATATTGCAGCATTCCTTGTTATTTTAATGATAGGAATATATACCAAACAAGCTAACAGAATGTAAAAAGAAAACTGTATGAAACATAGTAAACACAATTTGTATATGTAAATTTCTTGGCTTTTTGTTTAGAACACTCCTTTTAACTGATTCTTAATCTCCATAGAACACTCCTTCTAATTGATTCCCCACTGCACAGCGCACATTCACCATTGTATTATAGGCATTTGAATCTACAGCAAATACTTTTGTTAAAAATATGGTTGACGCTTTTGCTAGAAAAATGATGACAAGAGAGAATGTTTTACTCACCAAAGTCTTTAGTCATACTTGGAGAAAAACATACAAAGCTGTTGCAGGACATTGTAGATTTTGACCTCACCGTACCACGTGCCTCTATGTAACCCGATATATTCTCAAGTGGCTCGACAAACGTCATGTTAATTCGAACGTCGTCGGTTGTCATGATCTCTGCACTCTTACCATCAGAACTTTTCTACGAATTGTCCCAAACGTATTTTACTCACGTAAATCATTAACACAAAATTATAAAAGATTTATCAAGTGCAATACCATGTAACAAATTAATATGTAACATTAATAGAGTAGATTGAGTTTAGCTGATTTTTTATATTACTTTTTAAAAATAAAATTTGTTCTCAAATCCTGATCAACTTTATTAGGAAATATATTAATAATATATATTAAAAATTGTTTAGTTAGTAAGATAATTAATATTTATTAAAATAAAATGTAGTAAAAATGATTATTGTTCCGTAAAATATTAATGCTGATGATCACCATAACCTATATAACTGTATAAACTAACCTAAGCTAAAAAACATTTCATACCTCCGTAATTCTGCCAAGCACGATCGCCTCTTGACCGATGCGTTGTGTTAATCGCTTCCCCAGCATTCGTATATCTGACATTTTCAAGTTATGATATATTCCTATAATAAATGATAATAAACTTCAACTAAAATGTACACTGCAGTACTGCACTACACTTTGTAAACAAAACAGTAACGGAATAAAGCAAAAGCAAAGCTTGGCGCCAAACGACACATAATGGCTGCGTTCAGCAGACTTCAATAGTTAAATGAGTGATCGCTGCTATTGATGTATTCTTCTAGACCTAAAATTTGATTGGATGATCTAAAAGAATAATAACAGCGAACGCTCACTCAACTGTTTTAACTGTGAGTTCGTTATCGGCTGAATATGCCTAAAATAAATAGTTAAAAGTAACGCGCGTGTGTGTACGTGGTGTGTGTGCATGTGTGTAAGAAGTGATAGTTCTTCATCGGTGCATTAGACTACAGTGATTGTACAATACTAATAATTAAATATTCTCGCTTTTGTTAAGCTTCTAATGTCTTAATTTACATCGATCTTAATATTCGTACCAACTTTCTATGAAATCGTCTTAATTTCAGCAATATGTTCATAAAATAATAAACATCAAAACAATTATAATTAAATTAATATGCGTATCTTACATACACACATTGCTGAAACTTAGAAACTTGCTATTTTGTGTAAATATGAAATCAGCAATTGTGAACTAGGACAACATCTATTATATTTTAAGTACGAGTGCAGTGTACCAAGAACTATAATTTAACAATTTTGTGATAGAATATATCTTTGATTGGTGCAATATCAATAATTTTTTGTGTTCACACACATAATTAGTACTTTTAATTTATTTTATTGAATAAAAGATAACAATCTGTTATTGTAATCTTATACATACATATACACACTAATAAATCTTTTTCTCAGAATTTTTATGCAAATTTGAGAATTTTTCAGAATTTCTGAATAATTTTCTAATTAAAAAAAAAATTTGTAGGTGTTTTTTAAATATAATTGGAATATTTTTCAAAAGTGCTGAGGAAGTTTACATCTTTTTTAGAATTTTTCATATTATACATATATGAAATCTAAAGTATTCTAAGATCTCCCATTTTATAATTTCTGATGTAAAATTTTATTAACTCTGAAAGTTAAATTTAAATTTTTTAGAAATCATAAGCTGATAAATCTTAGAATATATATATATATATATATATGTTTATATGTTTATATATATATATATATATATGTTTATATGTTATACACATAACACGTACATATCATAGTTTATGAATTCTAATTCTGAGTGCTTGATACTTGTGTACTAAAATTAGTATAACTTTCTATTAAATTATCTCAATTTCAGCAATTTATTTAAAGAAAGGTGTATTAAGCTGATACAATCAGTATCTAGATTAATTAAAGAGCTATTATGTTTATCGCCAAAATTAAAATAATTTAATAAAAAGTTACACTAGTTAGTATGTGTATTAAGTGCTTGGTGTAAACAAAGTTACATATATGTATACAGCCGTGTATATATATCGAGAGATATAGGTCGGTATTCATAGTCAGTTCTTATATTTAAGACCGTCTTAAGTTCAGTTTTGAGGAGTTACGAACCAATCAGAGGGCCGCTTTAGCATCTTAGGACATACTTAAGGGGATGCTGGAGTGCCTGTTTTATCATTACTTAGTTAAAGACTCGTTTCTCTTAATTGCATTTACGGATGCAAAAAACCCTTCTGCATAATTAAAGTATCGACAACAATGAATTGCGCTAGCTACATTTCAATACGAAAAACGGAGAAAATAAAAAACTTACAGTTTTGTTATCGGCTTCTGCAGTCGACTCGACACATTATGTGAGAAGCCGATAACGAAACTAAATTTTTTTTCCGTTTTTCGTATTGAAATGTAGCTAGCGCAATTCATTGTTGTCGATACTTTAATTATGCAGAAGGATTTTTTCATCCGTAAATGCAATTAAGAGAAACGAGTCTTTAACTAAGTAAGTAATGATAAAACAAGATACTCCAGCATCTTAACTGTAAAATATTTGTAATCATAAACAAATTGTCATTCATATTTATATGTAGACCCTGATAATTCCTGAATTTAATATATATATATATATACATCAGGGTTGGGTAGTGCTAAATTAAAAAGTTAAAAGTTAAGTTAAAAAGTTAATTAATTTTAACTTAACTTACAATTAGTTACATTTTAGATTCCTAATTTTTTAACTTTTTTAGTTACATTTTATCAGTAACTAATAACTTTTTATTATTGTTTTTTTAAAGTTAAGTGTCAGACACAATACGAGCCAAAGATACGAATTCCGGCCAGCTTGCAGCACACGATCAGCGCCTTCGCGAATTTTTGCACAAAACCTCAAACTCTTATTATAGGATCTGTACCTGCAAGTAGAGACTCTTTATTGTCCGCAAGCAGACACGAGTTTGCATCACTGGTTCTAACTTGCAGGACTTTCAGCTTGCAGTAATTTATAGTCACTTGTAGTTTGCTGCTGCATTTATGGTATTCGGTTCTAATAATAAGAGTGTGAGGTTTTATGCAAAAACGCAATGAAAAATCATGAAAAAAAAATTTTTAACTTTTAACTTTTCAATTACATTTTTTTATCAACTTAACTTTTAATTAAATTAATTTCATTATACATTAACTTGTATCTTAACTAAGTTAAATTTTCAATGTTGTTAATTTTAACTTAACTTAGTTAAAAAAAAAAAAAAAAAATAATTTACCCAACCCTGATATACATACATATAAAATTAGAACATTCAAACTCGTTCAAAATTAATTAATAAAAATTAAAATAGCTTCTATGAGATTATACATTGCGCGACACTCTGCTATAGTTATACTCTCACTTATGCCGAATTGCGTAATACAAGGTTCGGATAACAAGCGTAAGCATATCAAGTGGTTCTTTGATTTGCTGCATGCATTGATTTGTTGTATCTCAACTTTTAATACTGTTTCTATCTCTTTTCTGATCCGAGTCATGATATCTGAACGATCAAAGTATTTGTCCTTTATAATCTGCATTTTTTCTTTCAAACTATTTGGAATTTTATTCGAGTAATTCTGTTTAAATAACAAATGTAAGTTATTGAGTGATAAGGGATTGATTTCTTTATTGATTGTACTAATTTTTTTAGATTTCAAATAGAGCGACTCTGCTTCTTCTGATCGTTTCTTGTCCTCTGATCGTTTCTTGTCCTCTGATAAAGTATCTTCTTTAATGTTAGCACATTCTATTATTTTGGTACTTAATTCTTGTATATTATCCTTAAGTATCTCCTTATACACGTCGGTCTTACGTGTGTTTTTATCAAATATTATATCTGGATTCAGACGTTGTAGCATTTTTTTTGCAGCGCATTGTTTAGCAGTCTTCTTACATTTTGCCGAGCCTGTTTCACATAGTGATCCCAAGCTGACTTCTACAACAAATATTTTCGAGTGAGGTAATCCATCCTCATGGAGAAGTTTATACTGAGGCGTTTTCATTGATATTTCATGTTGTTGGCAAAGCTCCTGTACATAGAATAAAAATTGTATTATTCTGATAATTAGTTTTTAAACTATAATATTTGACAAATGACTCATGAAAGTTACTTGTAACATTCCAATGTAATTAAAGTAGTCATCTAGAGTATCGATAACCTTTACAGGGTTTTGTGGTACGTGCTCATTTGGAGTATCGTAAACTTTTGCAGGATTTTGTAGTATTTGTTTATTTGGAGTACTGTAAACTGTTGTAGGATTTTGTGGTACGTGCTCATTTGGAGTATTGTAAACTTTTGCAGGATTTTGTAGTATCTGTTCATTTGGAGTACTGTAAACTGTTGTAGGATTTTGTGGTACGTGCTCATTTGGAGTATTGTAAACTTTTGCAGGATTTTGTAGTATCTGTTCATTTGGAGTACTGTAAACTGTTGTAGGATTTTGTGGTACGTGCTCATTTGGAGTATTGTAAACTTTTGCAGGATTTTGTAGTATCTGTTCATTTGGAGTACTGTAAACTGTTGTAGGATTTTGTGGTACGTTTGTAATTGATGAAGTAACTACTGGGAACGAAATTAGATTATTTGTAGCCAATAGCATATTTCTTGCAGCATCATGCTTGGCTTCTTTTTTGTTTCTTCCTGTACCAGATATTATCATTTCTTTACAAATCACGTGACATATAAACTGTATTTTGCAATCACTAATATTTTCGGAAAAATTATAAATAGGTACAAATCCTTTTTTCGTTGACAGCTCTTGTAATGTGCTAATGTAATTTTTTGTAATTTCTGCCATCTTATAACTGAAATACACAAAATATTTTATTTATAAAATATAAGATAATAACACATATTGCAATTAGATAGAAGAGAGTTTGTAATTATATTTATGAATGTTTAATATGATTTATAAAAAAGAAACAACTGAAACAAAACATCTCAATAACTGTCAGATTTTAACAAAATTTTATATATATCTGTAAAACAAAAAATAATACTGTATATTTCTCACATATAAATTATTTTTTCCTTTGTATATTCGATGAATCTTTCCAGAATATTCTTATACCATTGACAATACAATGTAGAATGAGATTGTCTGACGCAATTTCGATTATTCCACGTCACTATGTTCTTCGTTTATTCGAGCGAAATCGGAGTATACCATGTCGCTCTTTCGTATTGAATAATATGTTCTTTTTTTTAATACATTTACACAAATATTGGATGAAAAGTTCACTACTGAATTTAAAAAAGCTGTAGATCTCTGCTGACCTTTGTTTTTTCTATTTCTTGAACTTCCGGAGTAGAGAGGAGCTGGCTTCAAACAGTCCGAATTGATCAATTCATATGAACTACCTCTTATAATAGATTCGGAGATTCAAGTGGTAGAATCAAGCAATGACCATTCCTTTACTTCTAGATTGCTTCTAGATAATTTATCCATGAGATATTTTCTAGACATCTCTCAGATATTTTATTTATGGAATATATGAGAGATATCTGATAGATAAAATTATCTCTAGAAATAAAGGGTATTTCCCTATGACAGTTGAAATTTTAGTTAACTCAAATAAATACGACTAATCAGCATTATTTATGTTCAGCACATTCATGTAACGCATTGATATGATTGGTTGCATTACTTTTCGACTGTCATGGGATAGCACTCTAAAGCTTGATTGTATGTATTAACATTTCTTGATTTTAAGCGACTTAGGGCCTGATTGCACCAACGTGATTTCGATTTTAAGCGAAACTTAAACTGTCTCTGTCTCCCTTTCGGCTTTAAAACGAGATAGATAGAGTTTTAAGTCTCGCTTAAAATCAAGAAGTGTTGGTGCAACCGGGCCTTAAAACTCTATCTCGTTTTAAAGCCGAAAGAGGGACAGAGACAGTTTAAGTTTCGCTTAAAATCGAAATCATGTTGGCAATCGGGCCTAAAGCATATAAACATTTACTGGGCTGCGATCCCGTGGCGTCGAGTGGCTCACCGCTCTGTGCGATTGACTCGCGATTTGTAGACCCGAGTTCAATCCCACGTGCGCCCAAACGCGATGATTTTTCGCGTTTAATGAGCCTGTTGCAACCAGGATATAATGACCGTGAAAATAAATACACGTGGACTTGATTCAATTCGGCTAACTTTTAATAATGCGAAGGATTTACAATGAACTTAATTTCGACTCGTGTGCGAATAACAGAATAATCAGAATGCTTCTTCTAACAGCGCAGCGCATACGCGTTTCCGTCTTGAACGGGTCGGTAAAACAGATTCCTTCCAGTACCTTGTCGTCTGCTTGGTGGAAAGATTTAATCGCTTTTCGAACATCCTCCCATCTTAAATTGCGTGTTTTCTTGGGTCAATTTAATCTGTTAGAGAAGGAAAAATAATAAAGATAATAATTAAATAATCCAGTCAAATTGTCGGAAAAATCGATTTTGCCTTGCAAAAATTGGAAAAAGCGATTTTCTTTTTCTGGCATGTGGGGGGGGTCTAAAAAAGATTAACTCTAAGTTTTCGAAGTGATTAAGGAAGAGGCAAATTTGCTACGCTTAAAAATCCCCAAAAAATTTGTTTTTTGAATAACTCGGCTTCTATTGAAGATTTTTGAAGTTATAATAGCTCATTTTGTAGGTTTTTTCATGCTCTACAAGTTATCTTTATAACTTTTTTCTCTACGATGGATAGTTCGCGAAATATTTTACTAAAAGTACGAAAATTTAGGTTAAAAAAAAGGTTAATTGGCCTTTGATCGGTCATATCTCGTTTCCTACCACATTTATCGAAAAACGGTTCAGACAAAACTTGTAGCATTTGTAAATACCTTTAATTGAAGCCGTGTCGCGATCGATTTCGTCAAATAGAACGCTCTACAGAGCGGCGCAAAGTTGCAAGGTCGAGGCGTGTCGTCACGCGGAACACGCGTAATTGCGAAACAAATCCGAAAAACAATCTGATTCGAGAAACGAATATAGGCCTCGGACAAAAGAGGTCTATAGACGTCCTATGCTCCACATAAGGAGATAAAAGGAGTCGTTGTTGTTGTTGTTGGGCTGCGATCCATTTGATGCTACGAATGCTTTGAAGCACTTTTTGATTGGTCAATTGGTATAATTCTTTCTTCTGATTGATCAATCAAAAGTTTCGAAGTTTTTAACGTGGACCGCACCCTTATTATAGCCAATAAGAACTACACTTTTCTCCTAGAACAATTTTTGCTATTGGCTATCATTAATCATCGACACCGACAACTGTCGGTAGATGTGTATGTACAGAATATGGACCCGAATTAATGACGTTTTGTGCTTTCCATTGGTAGAACATGTAACATCAACAGGTATGTTCTTTTTGAAAGTACAGTGCAGGAACTTTTTGTACTTAGTACGCATGGTACAGTTCAAAATGTCGTCACAGTGCACGCGGTACAGAGAATACAAGTTCTAAAAAAGAACGCTATTTGATACACTGGTATATAAAGTTGCACCAAAAAAATCGTAAGGATGGAAACTGATGATGAAAGTACATCGAATGAAGATAATTTAGTCGGTGCATTTCTTGCATTGCACAATAATAATGGTAAACGCAATTGAATATATATGAATATTATAATATTATTATTATTATTATATTATTAATATTATTATTATATATATGAATATTATTATTATCATTATTAATATTATTATCATTATTATCTATTAAGAAAATGCTTTCTTTTCTTTCGATTTCCATTTTTTTTATTTTCGTTATACGTATTCACCTGTGTACTATACGCTGCACCGGCTGCACCGCCTCAAGAGATGGTACAAAAGTTCTTGTACCTATGCACCAATTTTCAAGTGTTCCGTTGAAATAGAACGCGTGCACTATTTTGCAATGATGTCAGTTCCGGCAAATAGAACGTAAATTGTTCTGCACCTTGCACTAGGTACAGAAAGTGCATGCACCATCGTCAAAAAGAACATATAGCAAAACGTTTTCCAATCCAAGTTGATGCAAACCTAATTGGGCCGAAAACGCTATTTGATAATTTTTCGCTATCCTTAAAAAATTGTGAAAGTTATCGGAATAAGAGTTCTCACAGTTCTATATTCTTATCAAAATATACTTTTTTAATAATTAACAATTGAAGATATATGTATATATATATATTTAATTATAAAATTTTATATACAAACTTTGAGATATATTTAAAAACGAATAATTAAATAATATATATTTGACCCTTAACTATCTCTAAATTTTAAAACGTTTTGTTTAAAGTATAGAATGCAAGTGAATCTATGGTGGTTGATAGAAGAAGAGGTACAACATGTTTTATCTCTATAACTTATTGTTAGAATCTTACAGTAACAATCGCACAGATTGTATTACTGTTTAAAACTTTTGTTTTGGATTCAAATGAACTGTTCCTATGTATAATTGAGAATTAAAAATTAATTGTTGCGATTGCTGAAAGAAAAGAATGATGTAAATAATTGAACAATAATGCCCAATTTTCTGTAGAGCTAACAATAAAAACAACATTTTTTTGAGAGCTTTATTGTCACATGAATAACAATAAAACGACTGACAATGTCTGGCAGCCATTAAAGAGCTGCTTATTATAAACGTTTATATAAATTGAATTTCTATTTGATACTACTTGATCACCATCGTGACGCAAGATATGAGAAAAATGTTAGAAATTGAAAGAAAAGTACATACAAAAGCGCCACTATCCCACGCCTTACTTTACAAAAAAGGTCTGTTCAGAGTGACATTAGCTCAATGTGTTTCGTATAAGGGTTGTTTTCGGCTTTGCAGCATCAGATGCGTTTAGGAAGCTAAAGGTATATCTAAAAGTAGTATAACAACTTTATAACAACAAAAACCTGCCTTTTTATTACTTATCTTATTTAGTATATTAAATCAAAATCAATAAAAAAGGGTTTTGTTAAAGCAAATATCAATTTGACTCTTATCAATCATTTAACTAGTGAATAATTAGTAAATAATTAATTAGTTAAAAAACAAACAAACGTTATATATATTATAATTATATGAATTACATTATTACAACTGTAATTTAATGAAATATTTTATAATTAATATTTCATTATTTTTTATTACATTTTTGTGTATATTGTAATTTATAAACTGATTAGAAATTATAATTTATGCTAACAAATTCTTTGGATAAAAAAAATTTACATCATTGTTATCATTCATATCAATAATGAAAAAAATTGTAAAATGTCCAAGTAAAATCACATAACAATTATAACCAATGAGTTCCTGAAACGCATCCTGTTTATGTTGACTATGTTTTACTAAAGTTATATGTTTCTATAATGCAGTTTCGTTCGGTTTTTACACTCATTGTAGTCGTGTTTCGAAATGTCTCTTGCACTTCTTCCCTTAATCATTTCGGAATGGCCAACAAAATCGGTCTTTGTTATCTATATTTCAGTAGAAAAAGTACACAGTATGGTACAAGCGATTCTTGCAATGGTGCAAGTTTCAAAGCATTTTTTCAAGAACATATATTTTGTACAAAGGATTCGATATATCATTCGTTGGAATTTTTAGAACGTTAGGAGCCTTTTGATAATTCATATTGCACATAGCAATGTTTTCATAATTAAGCGCACTGGCACGGTTTTAGATTATTATGAGAAATATTTCCGAATAAAATAGCTAAGAATAAAATGACGAAAGTAATTGAGTCTTATTGTGTACTTCGAATATCTCATTCGAAAGACAGTGGAAGAAAGACAAGTGATGAAGCATGTTCATAACATGCCGAAACCTTTCGAATAATTAATTGCTTTCAATAAGCGATCTTGCAATTTCTCTATTGTACTGTAATCCGGTAACAGTAACACATTGAAGCATGTGTGTGCTATTGGTAATCTAAAAATATACATTAATATACATATAAGTGCATACATATATAATGAGTAATTAGTGAAATACAATGAGTGTAATGTAAATATTACCTGTCAGAATCAGGACCATGTCTGGCGATAACCATCTTCAGTCTCGAAAGACCGCCGACAGGTACTCGATCACTACCCGTAGTGAATTGAAGAAGTCTTCGTTGACTTTCTGGTGGTAAGGAATGCGCTACGCGCCAAAAGTTACGTACTGCTTCGCTATCCACAGTATAGCCACCTTCGTACTCAGTTGCTGCTTCTAGCTCAGCAAAATCAAATATTTTGCTTCCACAAACAAGCTACGTATATATTGAATAAATTTTATTAAAATAAGTGTACTCTTGATATAATGTATTCTTTGCGCTACATCAACGATTGTACCTGCTCAATCTCTTCAGGTCTGAAAAGTAATGCGAGCGGACTCTCATCTGTAACCATTTGGAAGCCACGTCTGAAAGCGTTGAATTGTCTTTCCACAGATTTGTTAAGTAAGAAATCCGCATAGAGATCAGCAAATTCCTTTTTGTTTTCCTGCGTGACATACAGCTCATCACCGTTTTCTTTGAGCTCATGGAACGATAAGGATCCGAACACATCTCTATAGAAAAGATGCAATGAGAACATACTTATAAAATTCTGGTTGGCGTGACTAACTTATCGAAAACATACCTGTAACTCACTCGGAAAGTTTGCATAAATGTCTCTGGCATGTCATCTCCTGTATACTCAATTAATTCTTTCATTGTTCGATACAATGTTGGACTCCAATCTTCTAAATCAGGAAAACCGCCTTTCCTGCCTAATAATTTTCTATAGACTACCATTGGAAAACGTACATCCAGAATTACATTGTTATAAATTGCTAAACCAATAACAATGCCTATTAATGTGAACTGTGCGTCGCTTTCAAATGATGTTGGATTAAACCATGTCATTTGCGTGTCTTCCTAAAATAAAACAGTAATCATATCTTATAAAACTAAATCATTAACACACGCAAAAAGAAGTATTACAACACTAAAACGAAATAAGACAGAAATAAAAGAGTTATACATAATAAGTTTACTTGTAGTCATGCAAATTCTCACCTGAGTAGTAAACATGCCAAAATCAGGATTAAATATCTCTTCAACAACTAATTGAAAGAATTCTTTAGATACACCGCCTTCGTCAACACCTTGTTCTCCTTCAAATTCAACAACTAATTGTTTTTTTAAATCAGATGGATTCTCCATGGCCACCATTTCTAATTCTACCAATGCGTCATCTATTAAATGATCTCTTCGTACCTGTTCAAATCATAAGCAAAATTTACATTAATCTTTTTTTTTTTTCAAAGTTCATCACCTTTTTGTTCATTTTCGAATCAACAAACCTTTAATCTGAGATATGGATTAGTTGGCTGCCCGACAACGGTTTGCAAAAAGCTCATACGTCGTTCGCTATACATTCTGATACGGTTATCATAATACAAGCCCAAAGTTTTAGTAGCCGGGGTAAGAATAAAAGCGTAATTCATGAAGCTAAATTTTTGTGGCTCTTCGCTCTTGTAATAAGCGAAATCTTTGTCCATCTCTATGGCATCGCTAAGTGGCTCATTGTAAAAATCAGTAAATGGTATGAAAGGTTTACGTGCATCCAATGCGGTAATTCCTAATTCCGTCGCTAATGGATCCTGAAATGTATATTACTTTTATTTATTGTGACGTCCTGTAAAATAATATGTGTCAGATTAAATCAATTAATAGAAATGAAACCTGAGGGATCTGTCCTGATATTGCTGATCGTGAAGTACTTTTATCGCTACTAGCTGATTCACCTTCGTCATTCAAAATTAGCTCAGGAGGATCTAATTCACCAGCCAACATACTCGCATAATATAGAATTTTCATAACTTTTGTAGGCGCGGTAATAGTATCCGCATCTTGGACGCAATAATCACGTGTGAAGGATCCTCCAATTACCTGTGTGTGTAACGCGATACCAAATCTTTTATGATCAGGAAATAAACATACATATTGTCTTAGGAATTAAGTAAGTAAAATGGATGTTATCGACAAAGTCGTGAAAATGTACCTTGACAGTTATGAGTTCTTGAAGTGCTTGCAGAAGGCTTGGAAGTCGCGATTTACAATGCTTAGCCCATACACGTGCTAGCTTGGCTTGAGCCAATACCGGTACACAGCTCAACGCTTTACACAACATGTGGAGAGCCAATTCCAAGTATTCGCTATTTCCGAGCATCGGAATTTCAAAAACAATGAGAAATACATTTAACAAACTATCCATGCTGTCCCATCGCACCATACGTAAAACTCTCAAGTCTAATTCTATATCATCCGCCAAAGTGACTAGCGCATTGACCAGAGCTGATTCGAATGCCTCACCTAATTAAGTGGGGAAACATATTTAATTAGAAAGATATCGATGTTAAAGCAACATTTAAAATCGTATTTATTCATACCTGGCAAAGACCAAAGCGCTTCAAAAGCTCTACGGACCGACGGTAAATCAACACTAGTATCGTCATTATTAGGAACTGTAGGTGATGGATCGCTGCTATCTTCTTCTTTATCTTCTCCCTGTAAAGATCGTACCGCTTCTTTATTTAAATCTGCAGGTGGCCTTAACAGACTGTCTGGTGCTCGTTCAAGAAGTGCCGTTAAAGGAGAGTTACTTTTCTCAGTCTTTTGAAAACTGAGACTTAACGCTTTTCCAGAAGAAAACACTTCTCCCAAAGTACGAATTAATAAAGAATAAGAACCTTCCGCTTTACATTTTTCTATAATATCCAGAAGCTTAGCTTCTGTAAGATATGACTCTTGTTTTCCTAATAAAAAACGAAAGTATTATTTACATTCAAGAATAATTGATTTTTGCATATTGTCTGATACAATAATTAGACGTTTTACTTCAAAAATAAAACTTCACTAAATCGATTAAATACCTTCATCAGAGCTTGTAGAATTAACACTTTTTACAGGTAGACTCTTAGCTAATGACGTTTGTCCAGGTTCTATAGTAGTTCGAGCGACTTTACTGGGTTGTGTACCATCGCATAGTCTTGCTTCTTGTGAGAATAATTGTATCGCTTGTGCGGCTGCTTGATTTGGAGTAAGATTAGTTACCTAGCACAAAAATAAAGTATACAAGTAAAACATTTAGTTTCTATTATAGTTTACTGTAAACAATTGGATTTAGAAGTTATACTTTGCCACTGGAGGCACAATGCTGATTGTCACAATGAGGATTTCCACATCCATCCGTAAGTTGGTAAAAGTAACGTTCAATGAGCTTCTTTGCAGCTGCGCGCTTCATGTCGCTGCAAGGGCTCTCAGCTCCTACCCTACAGAAATGATAGTATAACATAAAATATATGTAACCTAAATTCTTAATATTTCCTACTGCACGATTATAAAGAAATATATTTTATATTTATAAAATTTTATATTCAGAAATTTTTTTCCACAAAATTACCTAAAAACTAAAGATGTTCAATATGTTTACAAAAAAATGTTCAGTTTATATGTCTATATAAATGTCATTTCTTATATCTATATGTACAAAAGTCATTTAGTCATTGGATTTTACAAGACATTATTTCAAATTGATCAAACAAAAATGAAATGATGGAAGAACAAAGATTGCTTGAATAGATTTAGCGCTAACATGAATGGCAAAAAGACTCGCCGAATCGTGATGAGGATTGTATATCGTCGTATAATCCCCTAATAATTAGAAAAAGATGATTAGTTGAACCGAAATTAAGATTAATTTACATTGATAGAAACTAACATAATTCTTAGAACTGGAAAAAGATGCAAAATAAATTAAGGTTTGAAGAGATTGAAGTTAATCCACATTGTTAGAAATAGTTATAAGACGTATCGGTGTCGATGCACCAAAACAAAAGTGCTAATAATAGACAGCCTCACGATTTCGCGATCTCACATGACGAAAGCAAAGTACTACGTTGCTGTAAACAAATCATTTGTACGAATCAGTGAGAATGAGAGAGACGGAGTAGGGAGAAGGAGAGATAAAGAAAGGAGGATCGTGTCAAGGAAGGCGAAGAGACAGAAGGCTGCGAAAAATCTTGACAATCTTTCATGAGAACATCTCGATCGTATTGATTTTAACACGCGTATGAAACGAAGATGTTCGGATAACCGAGCGTCTGTTTCTCGATCATAAACTTTCGTAGCAATCCGGTTGTTAAACACGCGATGACACGCTACTCCTCGCGAAAGAGAGAGCGAGGGTTTTTTTCCTTCTTTCTTATTTTCTTTCTCTCTTCTCTTTTACGGGCGCGAACGGACGCTAAAAGACGCAACCAACTCTCGTGACACCTGGAAATGTGATCTTCTCCAGGGTCCCCCTGACTCTTGGCGCTCATAGACCGTAAATCGTCGGAATTTTGCCTGTTTTGCTCGGCGATAGGAAGTTGAGTCGTGGTCACCGCGAACTCGTCGCCGTACTGCAATCCGATCGTCGCGCAGTAATTATCGCCGTTTACGCGACACGCCGGGGTCTCCGCCGCTCGGCACCACAACTTGGACTTCCGCGGCACGAAACGTCCACCGTGTTCTTTAAACGTCGCGTGTTGACCAGTGTTGACGACGATCAGGTTCTTCACACAGCAGACAAGGGATACTTTTCGATACGTCAGAGACACGGCGCGCGGAGGGGGGGGGGAGAGAGAGAGGAAAGAAGCGGAGAAGAGAGAGACAGGCAGAGTTTAAAGGTAATGGAAAAACATAGGGAATGAAAATGGAGAGAACGAAGCACACAGAATAGAGAAGACAGATAAATGGAATGAGAGAGAGGAAGAGGGAGCGAAATTGAGAGAGAGAGAGAGAGAGAGAGACTCGAGACGATTCTCAAAGAGAAAATATCTATGTCGAGAATCCGCGGGTGATTTGGAGGTTAGGAAAATGGACGGCTAAATTAATCGTCCCGATTTGTGCAACGGGGACTCGACGCGAATTGCAATCAGCTCGCGAATATCAGAGAATTAGCTCGAGAAAAAGAGCCACCGCTGTCTCTTTTGCTTTCTGTGTCTACTGACGTCTACCGTTTGCAATTAGCACCAACGGGGCCACGAGTTATCGCGGTGTGTTGCACGACGACTCTCGATCTATCGTAATCGCGCGCGATCGTTGCGTCGTCATATCGATCTCTCGATTTGTCGCGCGATTCAAATTTTGCGCGATGCACACGTATATATTGTGAAAGTTATGATTTCAATATAATTATAATACGATATATTGTACATTTTTAATAATTATGTGTATAATTTAAATATATTGTACTTTATTATTGTACAATTATTAAATATATATGTATTACGTGTACGTTATTTTTATTAGACATTTAAACCCAAATGTAAGAGATTATTCATCTTTTTCTATTTTCAAGAATTTAGAACAAGTTAAATGAATTAGTTAAATAAATAAATAAATAAGTTAAAGTGAGTTAAAAAGAAATTTAAGTTAATCTTATATTATACTTGAAAAGTAAAGTAACTTGTTTTAATATGTTTTATAAGAAAGAGAAATAAAATATTAATTATTTAACTGTAACATTAAAAAATTTTATTTTTATATAATTTTGTAATCTGTTTCTTTTAAGTCTCTATATATAATTATCAGGACTGTCATTCAAATAATCATTAACATTCACTGTTATGATAATTATAAACAATTTAAAAAATTGTACACTAATATTAAAAAAATCATTTATTTTTATATTAATAGTTTATTTTTTCCATTAAAAATATATGCATATATTGTTCATAAAATGTGCATATGCGACTTGCATGGATGCTCGTATTGTTTTACCAGGATTAGATCGTCGTTGCCACCAGCTCACTGATCCATGGAGACCTTTTAATATCCTCTATCTCGCACTTGAAATTCTCGTAAAAAGACACGACAGGGAATTACTGTCGGGTCGCCTTTGTTTAAACAAGTATCAAATCAATGGAAGACAATTTTCTACGCGCATTGATGTGAAAGTAACGCGTGAAAAGAGATGAATTGCGAGAGTATCAATTTGCACGCAAGAAAGTTCTCATTGCTCATTGTTCGGGAGAACAAGCAGGTTTTATTGATGACAATTACTCATCGGAAATCAATGCGACATCGTCTTTCTGTGAGAAATTAAAGTAAATTATTTCCAGTACCGCGCGGGCGTTACGTAAAGTAATTAATGGAAACTAAATTGCGCTGTTTTCTTTTCATTATGTACTTTTCCTGGAGTTGCCTAGATTTTAGTCAAACGAACGATTAACAATTACAATTTTTAATCGATAATTGATGATCATTTTTCCAATCATGATTATTATATATTTATTACGTCGTCGAAAAACTTAATAAAATCCTTATTTTACATTGGCAGGAAATTAAAACTCAACCTTTAAACCTTAAGAAGTGTTTTTAATCTTCTCTTTTGTGTATTATATATATTCTTATTACTATAATATTAATGGAAAATGTCTAAAGAAAGTCTGAAAATGTCATAGATGATGGAAGCGATTGAAAATCATGTCAAAAGTGATGTCAGAAAATCTTGATTTCACTTCTATGCCTCCCACATGGATATAGATGCAAATACCTACCCTGGGCCAATCGTGAGACACCGAGAGGGTGGCCAAAGTGAGAGAGAGGATGCAAAGGTTTAGAGCAGAGCACAGCAGCTCGCAGGAGCAGTAATATCGATCGATCCGGAGTGGAGGTCGAGGCTCGACAGGTCTCGGTTTCCTGATGCGGGGGCGAGAAAAAGAGAGAGGGAAAGGGAGAGAGGAAACAAGAGAACGGGGAGAGAGTGTCGAGTAGGGTCGAGCTCTCCGGAGAGGCGAAGAGGGCCGCATGTACCAAAAGCTTTCCTATAATCAGACAGACAGGCCGGTCAGCTGCCCGGGCACGGATCGCTCTCGCGCTGCTCGATCAGTCTTTCATATACATTTATCTCTATTTGTCTCTGGCCTTTTGTCTTCTTTTCTTTCCGGTCTCAAACTTTTCTTCATTTTCTTCTTGTGTTCTTTCTTTCGGATACTATCTATCGTTCATCGACCTTGAAATCTAGTGACAGTGGAAGTCTGACCTTGGCGAGCTATACTGTCAAGGCTGACAGGTAGGTCAATGCTGTAGACAGTCATCAGCTAATAACAGACGGTACATACTCTGTTCTCAGCGTACTCGAGACACTCAAGTGGACGTATATATGAACGTACGTGATTTTAGATGATAAAGACATGATAAGCGTTATCTCACATCGGGATTCATAGATTTATGATTAATTTGTTAAATTTTATATTAGTCAATTGTTTAATTTTAATGTTAAAGTGATTTTTTAATCCACAATTGGAATTAGAAAATGACAAAAGAAATGTAAATTGTACGATTAGAATTAGTGAATTTAAACTTTAACTCACACAGTAAATTGACTTACATTGGGAAACGTATAGAAGTCTTTCGTCGTTGTTAAAGAGTTTTTGATATACTATTAAACAGAAAGAAAAACAATATAAACAAGAGATACTTACATGTTTTTTTTTATATAATTGTATTTTTAATTAGTGTGCATGTTTGACATATGCAAAGCTTTTCTTATTTTTTATATTCTTGCATATTTTTTCTTATTGATATTTTTTTAGTATCTATACATAATACATATGTTACTGTACTGACACATTCTATGCTAAATCGAAGATAAACGATGCTAAGCGTGTGATTATTTATTGTAATTATCGCAAGCTAATTTAAAAGTCATAAATCAATTACAAATCAGTTAAAATTCGATAATTCTTTTTTTTATAAGATTTACTCTTGATTTAAAATGTATCCGATTATAACAACTGGTTTACATAAATATACTTTAGCAATTTTAGTGATACATTATCCTTCTTTAAATATTAAATCCTATTTGTAGTTTATTTTTCTTTGGCGAATAAGACAAAAATATAAAAATAAATGAATATTAAATTACGAAAATATAATTTTTTTTATTCAATCAAAGAAAAAGATTTTACTATTTACATTTGTACGATCAATTGTTTGATTGCATGAATGAGCGTGCGTTTACATGACGTAATTTTAACGTGATAATAACACAATTAGAGCGTGACGTATAATTGTTTAGCAGTGTACAGTGAATTTTCAATAGAGATGATGGAAAATGGAACGTAACACTCGTAATGAAGAGCGTGCTTCCTTATACTTTTTACGATGAAAGAAGATAGGCTTTTATGTTCAATGATAGATAATAAAAATAAGTCAGTAACATAATCAGTAACAAAATATTAATCAATGAAATAAACTTGTATACAGGACAAGGAATGGATGAGTAAAAAGTCCGCTCAGAAAATTAATAATTCACATTGAACTTTATAACTCGCGATAACCATGAAAAAACGAAGAAATAATTAATATCACGGAGACTATATATGCTTCGAGAATGGAAGAAACATCTTCAAGATTACGTCCTTACGTGGACTGGGATGTAAGCAAAGTTCACATTAATTTAATAAATACTTCTCATTACATAATATGCACGACTAAATATAACATGTAAAAGCGTTTAAAATTGTTAAGTATAATTAAAATATAGTCGCGTCGATTCCTTTTAGAACGAGGACAAGTATTCAGTAGCGAATAGTCAAGCACCCTTGCAGGGTGATGGCGAAGACGAACATCCGGAACGCGGAACCTGGACAGGGAAATTCGATTTTCTATTGTCTCTTCTAGGATACAGCGTAGGTCTCGGAAATGTCTGGAGATTTCCGTATCTTTGCTACTCGAACGGCGGCGGTGCTTTCCTGATACCGTTCACCGTGATGCTTATCATCGCCGGATTGCCTCTTATGTTCATGGAACTTTCCTTAGGTGATTAACGAGATAAATCAATAGAACACACCTTGAGATCCGTGATACTTGCGCTATCGTGAGATATATAAATATATATGGATATTGTTTTTTTATTCTGCAGGACAATACGCTAGTCTCGGACCGGTGGCGGCTTATAAACAGTTTTGTCCTCTTCTTCGTGGCTTAGGATATGGAATGGTTCTCGTTAGTTCCGTTGTCATGCTTTATTATAATTTAATCATCGCCTGGACGTTGTATTACATGTTTGCCTCAGTCAATGGTAAATAATAATGTCAATACGCAGGATATTCTGTGCATAATCTGATTTATTGATTGCAATGAAAAAGTAATAAATCTGTAAGTAATAAATAATTAAAAATAATAAATTTGAAGATATATTTACGTGTAACACTGTTTGCGAGTAAAGGTATATTAAAAATAAAAATTACTGTTTTTTTTCCAAGAATTATTTAAGTTCTTTGCGCAGGTGGTTGGGAGTTACCTTGGAGCAAATGCGAGAAGGAGTGGAGCACCGAGGATTGCTTCATGCCGGATGCTGCCGAGGCTTGTGTCTCTCAAAACGCTTCTTATTTCAAAGGAAAATGCCTGAATTCAACTCAAATGACTGCGATGGGTCTGTTCATCGAGAATATAACCGGCGCTATCAGAAAACCACCAGCCGAGGAATATTTTCAGTAAAAAACATACGCCATATAGATCGACATGTTTTTTTAATTGCGTTTTGTTCGTCTATTATTACAGGTTTCATCGTTAATTTAATAATTTAATAACTTTATAAGTTTCAATAATTAAAAATTTAATCTTTTATTTTGATGAAAAAAATTTTAATTTTAGTTTGAAAGTAATTTGCATCATTATATTGAATTTGAATTTTTCTTCTGTCTTGAACTATATTGTGTGAGGAGTAATAATTTTAAATAAGAAATAAGAAGCAAAATATTTCTTTGTGTCTAGCAATCATGTTTTGGGGATCAGCAGCGGAATCGAAGAAACTGGATCGATTCGACCGTCCATAGCAATCAGCCTCTTCCTGGCGTGGATCATTGTGTTCCTTTGTTTGAGCAAAGGCGTGCAAAGCTCAGGCAAAGTCGTATATTTCACCGCTCTTTTTCCGTATGTTGTTCTGGTATGTTCACATTTTTAATGTAATGTGATTAATTTAGCGTATTTTAAATAAATGTATTTCTTTTTCATAGATTGCCCTTTTTATTCGCGGAATTTTACTTTCTGGTGCTAACGAAGGTATACTTTTCTACCTAACTCCTGATTGGAGGAGACTCACCTCCGCCAAAGTATGGGGAGACGCTGCCGTTCAGATTTTCTTCGCTTTGAGTCCTGCCTGGGGCGGCTTGATTACTTTGAGTTCTTATAATAAGTTCACCAATAATTGCTATAAAGACTCTTTAATTGTGGCGATCAGCAACATCGGAACTTCCTTTTTTGCCGGCCTGGTGATCTTCTCGGTAATCGGCTTTCTTGCTCATGAGCTCGATGTACCAGTGGCGTCGGTGGTAGATGAAGGCGCTGGGCTGGCCTTTATGGTTTATCCAGAGGTGATTATTGATTTTAAGCATTGATGAAATCAATTTTACATTTTTTCCATCAATATACCAACATCATTCTTGTGTAAAACAGAATAGTTAGACAAGATACATGACGTTTTCTCATCAATTTATACTGGTAGGCGTTCGAGTATATGTTCCAGGATCACCGACGATTCTTTGCGTGACTATGCGTAGGTTGTAGCTCGTCTGCCGATCGCACCCATCTGGTCGCTGCTATTCTTCATCATGCTGCTCACTTTGGGCCTCGATTCACAATTCGCTCTCATGGAGACCGTTACTACGGCAATACTTGACGGTGTTCCGTCATTAAGAAGCTACAAAGTCTGGGTCGTCCTAGGGGTTGCGGTGTTCGGATATATTGGTGGTATCATTTTCACGACCAACGTAAGTCTAACAATAAGTTGTCTTCGCAACAATTTTATTTCATTAATACATAGAATTTACTTTTAATATATTATTATTGCAACAATTGTCATTGTCTCTTTAGGCTGGAATGTACTGGCTGCAATTAATGGACAAATACGCGGCAAATTGGTCCGTTTTGCTTATCGCCATAAGCGAATGTATTCTCGTGGCATGGGTGTACGGTGCGGATCGCTTTTTGGACGATGTTCAACAGATGATCGGACCTCGAGGCCGTTTATGGAGATTATTCTGGACATGGATGTGGAAGCTCGTTACGCCCGCAGCATTGTTCTTTATCCTTTGTTTTAACTGGGTGGAGTACGAACAACTCAAGTATGGAGCTTACATTTATCCAAAATGGGCAGACGTATTAGGCTGGGTTATTAGTATGCTTCCTGTTTTAGTAATTGTCGGACTAGCCATAGTAAGTTGAGACATTCCTTTTAAATATTTATAATAATATAGCACGTCGACGAATGTTATACTATACGAAAAATGATGAATATAGGATCAGCTAAAAGGACGACGTCGGCGATCATCTTATGATGATGATGATGATGATAATGATGATGATGATGATGATGATGATGATGATGATGACGACGACGACGATGAGCTCGATGAAAAGGGATCTTGCCAAAAAGAGGAGAAAGAAAAGGGCAAGGATAAGAGAAAGAACATATGGGACCGTATAAAAATGTTGTTGCAGCCAACATCTAAGTGGGGACCAGCGTCGCAAAATTCTTTGACGCCTTCCAGAACTTTGATGACTTCTTTGGGTAATGATTCCTTATTAATTTAAATAATAGTGATTTTGAACGTTGAACTATAATTTTTATAATGTTAATATGTCTTGAAGCAACCCCAGGACCATATGACTCGGTGCGAGATACGATTATTTTAGTGAACGGTCAACCGATGATGGTGCAACCACCCAGCGTCATTTCATCTGCTCAGAAACTTCCCGGACCATCGATTCTTAAAAATTCTAGTAAAACTGATCTGATTACCTCACAGCAAGTTTGACGCGACGTTCGTTTTACATCCGATGATGATAAAAAAGAATCACGCTGAATATACAAAATGCCCAATATAAAAAAATCAGCTTATTTTGAATAAGCATTCTTATAATGTCCGCAATTATATTTTGTCAATCACGATTGACTAATGCAAATTGTTTTTTATTATTCGATTCTATTTACAAGTATAAAATTTTGAATTTTTATAAACTCTAGTTTTATTAAAAATTTTATAACTTTCATTGGGCATATGATCTTTGCGACTGATTACATTCAAGAAATAAAAAAAAGGATATATTTTTTTAACATATACATTCTATCAATAGTTATAAAAAAACCTTTTATTTTTTGTGATAAATTAAGATTGCAAACTTTTATGATAAAAGAAGCTAACATTTATTGAGTAATTTTGTGACATGGACAGATGAGCTTAAATAAATTGTTGATACTAAATTTTTAATGAGATATTACGAAAAAAATGTAAAACTGTACTTAAAAGATAGTACCTAAAACAGTACTTAAAAGAAGTTGGAAAGAGGATTGTAAAAAGAGTGATATAGACAGTATTATTTTTTGAGAGTGAATATTTTATCTATTATGTCTATTAAATATAATGAAAGGTATACATATGAAAAAACTTTTCACGATAAAAAAATATTTATTTCTGAAAATTGGACCATTTTCATTGTGAAAGAAAATACAAATATACGCGTGAAAACACGTTTATAATTATATTTCGCAAATAGAACAAAACATTAAAAAGAGAAGTGGGCAGTGTGAATAGATAAAAAAAAGTTGAGATATACTCGGTGTATATCAATTTTATGATATTGTAAATATAACTATATCTAATCTAGAAATATATTGTAGATAAATACTGTTGATACGTCTTATAGATTATAGATTGTCTAAAGAGATTAGATATTAGATGTTATAGATACATATCTCTTTGACGTGTAAAGATATTCAGGGAATATAGATTAGACATTTTGGATATGCTGAAGAAGACGATAATAAGAAGTAGCTACAAGGAAAATCGCGAGACTGTTATAATTTATGGAGAAGGAAGTACAGACTTATTAATGAGTAATAATTCGTAACGGAAAAATCGCGATCCTTTATTTTTATGGGAAGTATTTCTTGGACAATTTTAAGCTGATAATCTAGTAGATGATTTGTGTCTCAGCTGACATCTTGATAACTTTTTCAAGGAAAACTTGATTCCGGATAAATGGAAAACTTTGTAAGTAAAAAGAGTGGCCTTAGTTCTCTGAAAGAAATTTTGCATATATGAAGACGCGAATATCTATATTATATGCCAATTGTTCCAAGCATGTCTTGCTTGGAATAGACTTCACTTTTGCCGCGTAATACGCCACTTCAGAAAGTCATTATATACTAATCTTCGCACTTTCATTTTGAGTGCGAGATATTTTTGAGATTTTTATCCTGTTTGAATCTTTTACGAGCTGAACAGATTATAAGTCGCTTAATGCCTATAAATTGACAGTAGACAAATCGGATATAAAAGACCTTTATTTATAACGAGAATCAAAAATAACTTCAAAATTAGGAAATTCAAAGATTTTAGTGGTAGGGATAATAGTAAATGTAAATGACTCGAAATGATTTTTAAATCGTTGCGAATGTACATTGGGTCGAATTGAACGTATATATATCTGTCACGTATCTGAGATATTATTAGTGAGCACGAAGCAAAAAAAAAAAGATAAAATGAAAAATGTAATGTATTTTATGTATACTAATATATTTTAGTAAGCCATGTTTTAAGATCGCAAAATTTAAAAGTTATAGAGCAAATGTTATCTTGTAAAGTGCCATTAGATATACGTATATGACTGTTTCCCTCCTCAGCAAATGTTCCACTAAGCCAGTTAAATGTTCAATAACTTTAATGTCAAACCATGCACTAGTTAATCAATGTGATGCGACTTCCCACACAATGATAGTAAAAGTATACCTCACCGTATGAAATAATAACAATTAATGTAATGTTAGTCACTGGTTCTTATGTCGGCCAAATGAGACGATTGACTGCTCTAATAATAAGTAAAATTAAGTGCAGTAACACATTACGAATCGTGATATCGCGGTGATAACACGATGGCATCATATCAGTGTGTAATCAGACAGAAAGACAGAGAGTAATCAAATTAATTACTTCAGAATTATTTTCTTCAAACAAATCTCCGAGTTGAAGATAACATGATATACTTTGTATCTTTTGATAATATTAAAGTAAAGATTTTTTAAAGTAGAATTGTGGAAGAAACGAGCAGAACAAGTAAAAGTTACATTTTGCGTTACAGTCATACTGAATATTTAAAAATCTCGTGATGGTTACGGTTCTAATGTCGTTACGAACAACTAGTAGAGCGAACAGTACAAATTAATGTGTCCTAGTACTCCTATAATTGCATCTGATAGGAAAAAGATGCTTTCCTTTAGGAGAAGCTTCTTTTCTTCATGAAAGAAAGTTAATAAAAAAGCGAATCTTTTCTCAAAAGTATTTGCGATGGATCAGCGTGAAGAAAAAGTATTTTTTTTTTTACATAAATAACGGCGGAATAAATGTTATATCATTAGAACAAATATTTCTGCAAAAAGAATAATTTTATTTTAGAATCAAAGATGATGTTTTAATTGCATCTTAATGTAGAACATGCTGAACAGCGTACAATCAGCATAAAATAATGCCTTGAATGAATATATATATATATACAGCAGTAGCAGAGAAACTTATACAATATAAAAAAAGATAGATATGATTATACATATATTCTGAATAGATAACAAATTAGAACGTATGCATGTATTGACATTGCATAATTTAAGTATAGTCTATTTAAAAAATAAAAAATAGAGAGACTGGATTCTCTCTCAAAAGATGAAAGTTATTAACAGTAGTTTAGAATAATAATTGCGTGTTAACCTATATATATATATATATATATATATATATGTGAGTTATACATATATGTATCATATATGTATAATTAGTATATAAATATGTATAATTAGTATATAAAGATATTGAGAAATATCAAATAAATATGTTGTGTTATTATGTATGTACATTGCGTTATAAAAAATATGTATATGTATGTTTTACAAACACATCCACAACTATACCTACATATGCATGCGTGTGCATACGTGTAAATTTGTAATGTGTAATAAACATATGTTGCGTGTGCAGCAATAAAGAGTTGATATACATGGCCATCAGATCTCGAGATTTTTGCTACAATTATATGTAATTTCTAATATAACAACATCTTCTTCAGTTCATATAAACAATATTCCTGAAGAGACAGACAAGGTATAACATTCAAATAACTGGGATTAATTCTACAATCTTTGGCTTTTCACCTTTCCGTTATTTTACAAGAGTTGCGTCGAGAACAATTAAGCTGTTCGCATAAACTAAACTTCATAACCATTAGTTCAAGCAAAACTTAATCAGTTTAATAATTTCGAAGGTAATTTAATTTTTCACCGATCGATTGAATATAAGCATTTTACATCTGGACTACAACTTTACGTCGTTCGTCCGCTTCTCGACGTGAAATTAAATCTTTTTTCCGATCTTTGTCAGACTTCGTTGACAGGCATTACGAGTCGCTCGAAGGTGGTCCGAATACGACTCTGCATCTCGAAACGGTGCCGAGTATCGGTTTCAAGAGTATAAAGAAGCCCGCGAAGAATAGCGATGCGAAGATCAAGTCTCTTCCGGTGCTGGTACCACCGGAGTGGGACCACCAATGGGTGTAGATTCCGGTGATGAGGGTAGCCAATAAAAGAATAGTTATACTGATGCCACCGCAAGCGTGAGCGACCTTGACGAGCACCGGCCTTACGCGTGGATATATCCAGACGGTGTTGTTCGCCAGGATTCCGAATGCGGCAGTCAGGAAGGATAGTATAATCGTCGTTAAGCCCAGCTGCGAGTGAGGTGTTGCAAAATGAGATTTATTGTGGTTGACTTTGTTAACGATGATGATAATAAAACCGATCCCGATTAGGGTCAGGCCAATTGTGTGTAGAATCCAGTGTATTGTCACTCTGTTACGCCTGGGTAGCTTCCAAGCGATGTATGCTTCACCGGAGACGCTGAAGACAGCCTCTGTGATTAGAAGACCGACCTTCGCCACGAGATGGAGAAATATTAAATCTTAATATAATCTTAGAACGAAAAGATTAAACGCGTTGTATAATCATCATATTTTTAACTGATTAATAATTATTATCGTGATAAAAGACGTATATAACAACACACGAATTGGCTAGAAATTAAATTGGCTGTTTCGGTTTTTTTGAAATATTTAACAGGTTTTCTTTTATTTTTTTTCTACTTACCCCAACAGACATACAAATTGGATGCCAAGAGAAGAAACTGTAGTTTCCAAAGGCAATCACCAGGATATATATCACTGGAGCCACGAGTAGAAAATGTGTCAATATTGAGAAGCCGAATGTTATAGCACTCGGCGGCCCCTTGTTGCTTTCGTTACTCATGTCGAGAAGAAAGCGATGATACTTCTTTGATTCCTGACGTAACAAAAAGATATTTTCACTGTTAAATTCGTTAGATTATTGTATCCAATTTTTTGGGGTACAAGAGTTTTTGGGTAACAGTTATCTTTAATCATTTCTATAAATCGCTACTACTCTATATATCGTTAATTAACTAAAACAATGGAGTTATACAATTTAACTCGAGAAAATGTATTAAATTGGATTCAAATTTGATTTATTATTCACTAAGATAATATAAATGTTGCTTACTTTGAAACCAGTCATAAGAATTGATTTACATTTTGATACACACGAAAGTTAAAAATAAAAAAAAAAACATACAGTTAAATAAATATTTACAAATGTAAATTAAGTGGCAAGATATCTTAAGATTTAACAAAATAGTATTTTTATAAATTCCTTCTGTTACATTTCATTTAGAATTTCCATGTAAGATTATTTTATTAAATGTTTTATTCACTATATGTCTTAAATTCCTATATTATGTGAGAGGAGGAAAGGTTCTTTGAGAATCGCTGCAGCCAGGGTCTGGAAAAAATTCAACCCGGCACTGCTGGGTAAGTTAAAGTTCTATGGACGCTGTCCGTCTTTTTACGTAATTCTTTGTAATTAATACGAGGCTCTGAATGTACTACGCGTGATTCATCTTTAATTGTACGGTGCGATTTCTCGCGTCTTCCAACATATCTATTTTTCAGTCTTGTTATCTTACCAGCTTGATTTTTATGAAAGCGCGATTACTCGATAAACATATATAAATAAAAAATAATAATAAATTATATGTATTCATAAATATAAATGATAAAACTTTTTGTCACGATCGTATAAAGCTTACTATTTCTGGAACACGATTTACAAACGTAAGGAAGATATCAATGATTTCCGCTACAACTTGGAATTTACATCTTAGAAAATAATTTAAAATAATGATAAAATACAAATATATTTATGAAATGCAATTTATATAGTTAAATTTAATAAAAGGATATAAATATAATAAGGGCCCAGTAAAATAAAAACTGTTTTAATTCAAATAATCATAATATAAAAATTACATAAACAAAACAAACGTACGTTTCGACTCCGATCGGGTCATTTTCAATGTTACAAATTAATACAGAACAAAAAAAATTTTTGTTTTGTTTATGTAATTTTTATATTATGATTATTTGAATTAAAATAGTTTTTATATTACTGGCTCTTTGCCCTTATTATATTTTTATACTGTTTTATACTTACGGAGCCTTATAATTATATTATTTTAATAAAAAGAGTTACTTGTAGGAAACATTATTACTTCTTAAAATTAGACAAACATACGCGGTGAACTAAAAGTCATTTACTAAACAAGAAAGATCAAGACATTAGTTAAGCGATAAAATTCAGAACCTCATAATAATTCGTTTCGTTAATGACTCGATAACCAACGATAAGAAATGCTCGTCGAACAACAACGTAAAAATGTCACTCAATCTGCAGTATATTGCGGAATGTAAAAGTGCACTTGTAGTGCCTTTGCATTCCGACGATTATGTAAATGTCAAAATTACAACAATAATTGCGAAAATAAGACTTTAAAAATAATTTCTTTTAGTAGAACTCTTTTTAAAGAAAACTTTGTTAAAATAATTACTTTTAAATTATTTTTATCTATATAAAACAAATTCATTAGTTTCTTTTCTTTTTAAGAACAAGTTTGCAAGTATTATTAATAATGCTTATAAAAAAGTATTATTAATAATTTAATAAACTTCTTTTTGTTAAAAATTGTATACCCTTTTCTGCATTATAAGAAATAAAAAGATTTCTTTAAAAGGATCAGTATTCGTAAAAATTATTATTTATAGAAAAATGTTTTACATGATATTTTATTTTTAAATCAAAATCATCAAAAATAAACAACAAATGATATCAAACACATATCTATTAATTATGACAATATATAATTTCTAATTTTAATTCTATAACGCGTTTATTTCTTTATACAATAAATATTTATGTCAAAACGATACACCTATTAGATATTTGCATTTTTCGCATTTCTTCTATTCTTTGCACTTATTATTTGATGTGACCTAATTATGAAAGATCTTGTATGTACGAATATATATATATATATATATATGTGTATGTACATAAAAAGTGTCACAAATATTATTTTGATCATATTCTTTATACAAATTTAAAATCAATATCTTTTAAATAAAATTTTTCAAAGGTAATAATTTTGTGTACTTTCCGTCATTATCTAAATATTTACACACACAGTAAATTCTTAATCGTTATCGCTGCTAAGCGTTAATTAATTAATTAATCATTCTATGTTAATTAAAAAACTCTTATAAAATTTACTTAACATTAAATGAAAAATATATGTTATGTTTGCGCGCGTATTGTCTAATTTGTTCGAAAATTTTTGGTGATCAATCACAGTTTGAATCAACTTCAACATTATAAAGTAATCAAATGTAGATACTCCCGCGAAACATCAATTATGTAGCGTGATGTTATTTATGTCATTAAGCAATGTAATCTTTTCCTTCTCGTTTCTCTTCTGAAATAAGTACTACAATAATATATGTACTACGATAGTAAACAGTAATGTATATTATATTCACCATGATGTTTGACACAGTAAGGACCAAAGATACGGTTACGCTACAACAATCTTACGAGAAAGTCATCGAACGATAACTTTGGTTGACTCACCGCATAAACACCGTTGGACTGCTATGCGTAAAGTTATCGCCGGTCTTAAAAGAGGAAGCGTCGTCAAAAAAAAGGCCTAAACAGGAACTCTCTCTCTCTCTCTCGAGCTGTTTCGATCTGAGCAGCTAATCGAGTAACACACGCGCGCAATCGCGTTCGTGACGTGACTGAGCGTCTGGAATATGGCGATCTAGGCTGTGGATGTGGATCCATGGATCATTATCGTCGCGTCGCTGGCCGATGAGGAAACTCACTGTCGGCCTTGCAGTGTCGGAGCGTATGGTACTGCCGGACCAATCCCCTCGAGAAAAAACGCTGGACCGAATCACGTATCTCCGTTCTCTGTTCTCAAAATAAAAATTCCCTGAAATTCTCTTTACTCTTCAATGCGTGAAATTCGATGGCGAAGCGATATACGGCATCGGAATGGAAAAATCGTGGAAAATCGCGTTTATCTATCGGGCCCGAAAAAGAAGCGGTTCGACGTTGCGGCCTTGGTAAGAGCGGCCGCAACGCACGCACACTTTTCGATCGCGTAAGCGCTCGTAAGGCGCAAGTATGCAGGCTCCATAAATTTACAAGGCATTCGTATAATGCAGCTAAAGAAAACCGAGAGAGAACTCGCTCGGGAAATGCTTTATAACTCTTCATTATCTGACGTATCTTGAAACTTTTGCGGAGTTAAAAGGAAGAGAGAGAGAGAGAGAAAGAGAGAAAATCTTTTCTCCGGAGTATCTACTCGCAATAACACCTTTACTATCATATACCTATCTTTTATACGGAAGATTTTTTTATATTCGTAAAATTCAATTATGTATTTAGCGATTAGGAATAAATTTTCTTGAGTAACGATCTTGAACGTTTGTGTACTTTTATTGCAGCTCTCTGGTGGAAATACGCAGTTTTCCTAGATATCTATCCAGTTATCGTCTAATATTATATTATATAATATTATACTGTGTGTGTGTGTGTATTATTTTTATTAGCCGTAACAATACTGCGTAGAAAATGGATGAAAACATATGATAGAGTTTTATTTAGTGACCGAAGAGTTTTTCTGGCAAAAATATATGCAATTTTTCCGGATACTTCCTCAGTTATTGTTTAGTATGAATAGTTTATTATTAAAATATTGTGTAACTTATTTATATATATATATACATTTATAAAATTCTAAATTATTATTCTAAATATTAAAATTTATATTTCTGAAAAATTTAAATTCTAATATAAAAAATTATAAATTATTATATAAAACTTAAATTATTATAAATTCTAAATTATTAATTTTAAAAACATTATAATTCAATTGTAATCTTTAAATGCGATTAAATTATAATATTATAATAAAAAAGAAACATTTGAGTTTTGTGTAAATATTCGAATAAATATAGGTAATAGATACATATTCACACACTTGGAAATTTATCTTATCAGAACTCTCGTGCATAGTTTATATACTCTTAAAATACATATAATAGATTATCCGTGTACTTGCGTTATCTTGCTAAATTTACCGATGTCGTAAGCAATGATTAATTAAAAACACAATTAGAGATCGCCCGATAATTATTATCCAGAATCCAAATAATAGAGCATGACTTGTGTTTGCTGAGAATTAATGCGCTTTGAATGATAATGTTCCTTTTTTTTTCGATTCAATTAGGATAAATATATTCTTTTATAACTTGCCGTTTCCTTTGCATATCTTCTTTATAACTCGCTGATCAATAAATAACACTTCTTAAATCTGCGTATAAGGACGTCAAGGTTTGAAACCTGTTACTAATGTTTCGGATCAGAGAATGATTTCTCTTTTTTTTTTTTTAATGTGCAACACGATTACATAGAAAATCATCTGACAGATTCGAGCAACGTCACGCGTATCTGCGCACGTGCAACGATGCGTGTAGCGATAGTGACAGCTGTGTTGTGTTGATTGTTGGTCGTCGTGACGACTGATGACGACGACCGGGTCGAGTCAGCCGCTCTTTACGAGCACGGTGGACCACGGTACGCCCGTGTGATTTAATGTTTTATTTAAAACGCGATTAAAATCAAACGACGAAATGGTGGTTGCCGACAAACCTAGGCATCTGATAGTCTCCACGGCGGGGAACTTTTTCAACGCGTCTGTGCAGCACGATGAGGAGGACATCGAGGATCGCGAGATCCTCGATCGCTTCCTGGAGCAATCCTCGTGCAGAACTCTATGCGCCAGGCCGGTCGACACCGACCGGAATCAAGTCCGCTTGAAATTGAGCACCGAATTGCCCGCCGGTATAAGAAACACGTTGGTCTTCTTTAAGGTAGAGATTCTTCTTTAAAAAAGAAAAAAAAAACACTTTAATTATGAAACTTAATGAATAAATTCAGGGGATTAACAAATAAGAAAAAGGCTTTCATCGATGAGATATATTTATTGATTGAAATCTACTTAATCCGTTCTTCAGTGATATCCATACATTTCTCTCACAATCAATTACCATTGACTTATGATTATAAGTCCGTCATACCGATTGACGGGTGTGATTCTTTCTTGACGATAGAAAGCATTTTCTAGAAAGTCGCGATTTAACACACTATTTACATTTGCTGATGGTGCGAAAATTCGTGCAGGTGACAGCGGCTACGGTAACGGAAGAAAACTTTCACGACGTGGTCCAGGTGGCTTCCACCGGCTGCGGGGACGGATCGGTACTGATCGAGGTTCTCCGTCAAGTATGGGCGCCGACACTCCGCTCGTCTGGTTTAAGTACGTCTTGTTTGAAGAAATTGGAGGAGAGACTACTCAGTTCTGGATTTTCGACTAGCGTTGCAGAGGAAGAGGAATTTTGGAAGCGTAAAAGGGATGAAGTCAAACGGTCACACGAGAGAACAAATTGCGAGGAAGCTGCCAAGTCCGTGAAGAACATCAAAGTCGAACTCGAAAGCGCCGCGGTGTCAAGGCACATCGTTACTTTTATTATTTTAGAGAGTCATCTACAATGAGAGTAATATGTATAGCAATATCCGTTTGTTATTAACGCAAATTAATTTAGATTTTAACCTCGGTTCTACTTACTTTTCATCTTTTTCTAATTCTTAGACCGATATTTATAGTCGATTCTTATACAATATTTAAGACCGTCTTAAGTACAATATTGAGATATCATCAATTAATTACAAAGCCATATGAGCATCTTAAGACATTACTTAAAATGATGTTAAAATAAGAATGGACTATGAATACCGGGCGTAGAATCAGAAGAAGATGAAGATTTAATTGAACTGAGATTAAAATTAAAACTACGATTACGTTGATAGAAACGAGCATAAATCATAAGCTGTAAGAAATCAACTAATCGTAACCGACTATGATTGATTAATGTCTTATATATTTATACGATTTACTCCATTGTAAACGGTTTATTACTGTTTTATACAATTATAATACTATCTTCCATTTCTTTTACAGAGATGGATTAATCGCTGTGGAAGAAGCTTGCGAAGCTATTTCTGTATTCGTGGATGATTTATGGAAGTTAAGCGGACCGGCATATACGGAGGAACGAATGAAATCGTTTCTCGATGTAATCGGGAACGAAGTGGTTCAGCTGATACAAAATTATCTCGATACGGTATGCCAACTACAATAATTTCCAGCTTTAAATTATCCATAATCTACTAATCAAAAATCTTTGGAATGTCTGTAATCACATAAAAGTAAAAATACCATTTATGAAAATTGATATTTTTATTAATAAATAAGATTTGATTTGAAAGAGTATCAAAGGAACGTTTGCATGAAAAAATGGTTTTATTGAAATATCTAAAAATTTAATTATTAGATACAGATCTGATAATAATTTTGTTGGACTGTCAAAATAATTATATAGGACACTTAAGCTGGTTATTAGAATTTCAAAATTATTTGCAGCATTGATTGTTATAGTTGAGTCTTTATATAATTATTTTAATGTATTCGATTTGTATCTACCTTATAAAATTTAGATATGCTTCAGTAAAACCATTCTTTCTGTATAGCTAAATCATTTGATTCGATAACGCTATTAAGTAATCGTTTTCCCTTGTATACAATGTTTCATGAAATGCAAATTGTTAGGTCGATACGACCGATACTCGCGCAAAGGACGAAACAATCGCACTCGGAGCGACAGTATGCGAAAAGTGGATGAACGCTACGCAGAAATTAACAGAGCTGTTCTGGCCACATTATTCGCTCCATCCTTGGCGCGGACCGATCTTCGTACCCGAGAAATGCTCGAAGCTCGGCAGAAATCTCAGGTAGGCGTTAATGCATACGAAATGATATGGAATGTAGTAATAACATAGTCGCAATCTTCTAGGCAGATGTCCGAGTTACGTGCACAGCATCGTCAATTGAGCAAACTTCTGACTCCGAATGAGAGATCTGGACTTGGTATCGAAAAACTGCTCCAAACATTTGATGATACGAGAGGTACATTCGAAGCAGCTTTGTTTTATAACAGAAATATTTTATATATAGTAGTTTTCTGATGAGTTATATTAAGCCTGTACCTATATGAAAAAAACCACAAAATAATCAAATTGATTTTTATCTTCAAAAGGCGCGGATATTATAAGAATTGACGAAGCAATTTTTGTACTTGTAATTTTTTTATGAGTTGTTAATTAATAATTGAAATAATTAGAAGTGGATATTACAATGTAATAAATTATAATATTAAATAGTATGAATTAACGATACTTTAAATAAATAAATGTTAATAATTACAATTCAGTTGCTCTGGGCAACGATGAATGGGACAATGAATGGAATAGATTGAAGCGTAAGATCGAGGACGGCTTGATACCAGCTGAAGAACGTGTTGCTCAGAAGCTGAAGGATCACATCGCTGATGCTGATACCCCAAGCGCTCTGGTAGCCGAATTCGAGAGATACGGTGAACTGATGAAGAGGGAAGGGCTTAAGAGAGCATTACGCGGGGAACGAGAGTCTCTGCTTGCGGCGTATCGTGATCTAATCGGTAGAGCACTCTTGAATTTAACTAAAATGCCCTTCATATCTCTATACGTTATAAATATGTCAAAAATAAAAAAGAAAAAGAAAAGCTAGAAATCTGTGTAAATTTTTTTCTTCTTTTTACAGTCATT